CTTCAAATCTTTAATTTCTGTGTTTGCTCAAGTGATCTTTTACCATTTATACTTTATAAATTATTAGAGTCTCAGGACAACAGTATGTTCCCACTCCAACTTGCAATTCTGGTTTTGGTCATTTCAGTCTGTTGCATTAAGGGACGCTTTTGCTGTCTATTTGGATGCAGATTTTGAAATATTGAGCTCTTCCTGTTGGTGTCCTGTTGAATAGTTAGCTTTTCTGCCTTTAATCTGTTGTTAACTTGCATAAAATTGTAAATATTGCTAAACATTTCTAGATATTTTAAGAGCATGTCTCTGCCCGGGCTTGGATGAATGGCTCTACCCTGGCCCGGAGGCCAGAACCTGCCCTGCTGATGTTGGCCTGTAATAAAAACTGTAGTTGCATATAAGTGTAACTATTGCAAACCATTTCTGGAAATTTGAGAGCTCAGATACTATCCAGCCTCATTCCGTGCAGCCCAAAGGCCAGTCTCTTCCCGGACCAAGGCCAGTCTCTGCCCCGGTCCAGAGGCCAGTCTCTGCCCCAGCTGGGAGGCCACACTCTGACCAAACCTAGAGGCCAGACTCTGCCTGGTTTGGAGGCCAGACTCTGCCTTGCCCAGCTCGGGTGCCAGACTCTGACCAGGCCTAGGGTCCTGACTCTCCCGACCCAGAGGCTGGTCTCTGCCAACCGTAGGCCAGACTCTTTCCGGATCGGAGACAAGACTCTGGCTGGCTGGGAGGACAGACTCTGACCAGCTCAGAGACCAGTCTCTTCCCGGCTTGGAGACCAGAATTTCCCCAGTCTTAGGGTCCCTACTCTGACCCTCTCAGAGGCCAGAATCTGCCCAGGCCTAGAGGCCAGACTCTGCCTGTATTAGAGTCTTCTTTGGGCCTGACCCAGAGGCCAGTATCTGCCATCTCAGTGGCCATATCTATCCCAGCTCGGAGGCCAGACTCTGCCTGGCTTGAAGGCCAGTCTCTGCCCCGGCCCGGAGGCCAGTCTTTACTAGGCTCGAAGGCAAGTCTCTGGATTTAGCTCTTCCTGTTGGTGCTCTTTTGAATAGTTAGCTTTTCCTCCTCTAATCTGTTGTTAACTTGCGTAAAATTGTAAATATTTTTAAACATTTCTAGATGTTCTAAGAGCATGTCTCTGCCCGGGCTGGATGAATGGCTCTACCCTGGCATGGAGGCCAGCACCTGCCCTGCCGGGGTTGGCCTGTATTAAAAACTGTAGTAGCATATAATTGTAAATATTGCAAACCATTTCTAGAAATTTGAGAGCTCAGGTACTACCCATCTCGCTCTGCCCAGCCCAAAGGCCAGTTCTTCCCAGACCAAGGCCAGTCTCTGTCCTGGCTCGAGGCCATACACTGCCCGGCTCCAGGCCAGACACTACCTGGCGCAGAGGCAAGTCTCATCCCTGGCCCTGGCCCAGAGCCAGTGTCTGCCCCGGCCTGGAGCTCAATTTCTGCCCTGGCCAGGAAGACAGTCTCTGTTCCAGCGCAGCGGCCATTCTTGTCCAGGCCCAGAGGCCTTTCTTGCCCTGGCCCAGAAGCCAGACTGCCCAGCTCGAGGTCAGTCTCTTCTCTGGCATGGGGTCCAGTCTCTGCCAGTTGAGAGGCCCAGGATGGTCGGCATGGCCCTCCCACAGCCCGTCGCCTCCACATCGCCGGCCCAGGGGGTCTGGTGACCCGGGATGTGTCCACATCACCAGTTGAAGGCAGAAAGGGGTGCTGAGGATGCCAGGGCCCAGGGAAGTGCAGCAGGAGGCCCCCACCCCGTTTGCCCCACAGGCGCTCCCAGCCCTCCCCATCACCGTGTCCCTGATCCCACCTCTGTGGCCTGCAGCAGCTGGGCCCTGACCTCAGGCTTCCCAGTGGGCTCAGCCAACAGGGGACTCGTGTGGGGCTGCAGGCAGGGAGAGACCCTTGCTGCCCCCGGGCCCAGTGGGCCTGGCCCCCCAGAGCAGGAGGCAAGGCCTGCCCCCTCCGCCTACCCCGAGCCTTCTCCCCAACGCTGCTGGGAGCTGGCCCATCTCGCGGGGGCAGAGCTCCGTTCTGGAAAAGGCCCCTCAGCCAAGCCGAATCACCACGGGAGGCACCATTTGCTCAGCAGGTTCTCCTCAAGACTGCTTGTGCCCCGCCAGAGGGGGCAGGGCAGAGGCGTGGCCCCTGCATCCCCAGCGCTCACGGGCAGCATAGGCGCAGCCCCTTCTCCCGGGACAGGACCTTGAGCGTGTGGAGAGCCTGAGAATGGCGGGGCGGGGCGGGGGCAGCAGACAGTCTCAAGGCCCAAAGGGGAGCGGCACGTGCCTGGGGGGCTCGGGGGCCCGGCACCCCACGTGGGGGCACGTGGGAGAGGACGTGCTGGTGCCCCCACCCAGCACAAGGGCCTGGCCTGTTGGGGACAATCACGCAGCCCCGTGCACGGAAGAGCCGGCGGGCAGCAGGGTGGGGCCGCCCCTCACAGGCCCTAGGACGCCCCAACCATACCCACGGGTGGCAGAGGCTCCTCAACGGGATTTGTTTTAAATCAACTTTCCAGATTCAGAAGAGAAGAGCAGCGCATTCCGTGGGCGATGCGCGTGTGTTTTCTCATAATTTGCGAATAGTTTACTGGACACGGCGGGGGCGGCGGGGGGGGGGGGGGTTACATGTGCTCAACTCCTTCAAAAGCGCAGATGCCCCAACTGTGCGCGGAAAGCCCAGAAGCTGGAGGGTTCCCGGGGAGCACGGGGCGCCGTGAGCTTGGGGAGGCCCAGCCTGAGCGACGCCACCGTAGAGGGGCTGCACTTCTGGACCCTGGAGCACAGGCGACCTGAGCCCAAGCCCAGGCCGGCGGTCCCTGAGGGATGCCTGAGCGGCGACAGGAAGGGCCCCTCTGCCTGGTGTGCTTCCCTGCCCTAAGCCTGCAGGGCTCTGCTGGCAGCCACCTTGGGGTGCGGGGTGTCTACTGCCCTCTGGTGTCCCTGCGGAAGAGGGAAGAGGCTCCGCTGGCAACCAAGGCCAGAGCTGGGTGGTGAGAGGCTCTCGCTGGCCGGATGGGGATTCAGAGCACAGAGACCACAGGAACTGCGGTTTGGTGTGACTGTCAGTCGGCCGGCGAGGAGACAGGAGACATTTCTGTCTCCCGGATTAGGGAAGGGACGAGGCTGGGGGGTGCTGGGGGCCAGGTGTGGACGGGGGGCCAGTTCTGTGGCTGAAAAGCAGCCTGGAGCAAAGAACTGTGACCTCGGCGGCGGAGTCCACTGGCGGGCAGCCCGGGCCGTGCAGGCTGCTGTTCTGAGTTTGTTGATCGGGCCCTGGCCTCAGCCCCCTCCTCCGTGTTTGCCGCCTCCTGGCCCTGCTGACTGAGCTCGCTCAGTCAATCAACTAACCTGCAGGCTCGGCTGTGTCTGCAAAAGCAAGTGTCGGGGAAAATCCAGGGAAGGTTGCGTGTGAGTGTGAGAGTGCGGGTGTGAACACATGCACTTCAGGGTCTGCAACAAGTCTAGCCATTTAGCCTTGGCTAAGGACGTGCTGCGTGACCTTGGGGAGATGCCGCCCCCTCTCTGGGCCTCGGTGTCCTCAGCCGTGACTCACAGGACTGAACAGGACACAGCCCGACCCATTTTATTCTCTCGTTTTTACCATTTCGTTATTCTAGATCCCTTTATAGGTCAATTTTATACCTTTTTTAACCCACCAGTTTAAGCACAAAAGCGTAGAAATCAAAAAGCAAAACAAACCCCCCAAAATCCACCCTTCAGGACCTGACAGTCCCGATTCGGTCATTGCTGAGGAAATGACAGCAGGAAACGGGTCACATGGGTTGTGGGGAGTCTGGCCTAAGTACAAGTCACCTCACTTTCAAGCCCTGAACAAGCGGCCAGGGTGTGGTGAGGAGCTCCCAGGTCTAGGGCGGGGCCCAGGTGTGGGCAGCACCCCCAGGCAGTGCCCCCCGGAAAGCCCCTGACCGTCTCCAACGTTATCTTGCAGGAACGGTCCCTGAGTCTCCCCTCCTGTGAATGCAGGTCCCCCTGCCCGCCGCCCGCTGCCCCGCGGGTGTTGCTGTGTCCGTGCCCAGCTGAGTCCTGCCCGACGGGCAGACAGGGAGGCCCGGTCTTCAAAGTAGCTCCTGGGGGAGAAGCGCCTCTGCTAACTGTCATCAAGGTGGGTGACAGGGAGGAGGGGCCTGGTGTGGGCAACTGCACCCCAAAAGGGAGGGAGCCGGTGCGTCCCACAGTCCCAGGGCTTGGGAGAAACAGCAGCCCCTTGGTCCAGAGCTGGAGCTCTGAGCAGGCTTGTGGGAGGGGCTGGGTTTGACAGGAGTCCAGTGAGGGGCCTCCCCTTCCTCAGCACCACCTCCTCCCACTTCCCGGGCCCCAGGGCCACCATACCCTGCGCTCCCCTGGGGTCTGGATGGACCCAGAGAGGCTGGGGACTGCGCCCAGGGGGCGGGGCTCGGAGGGCACCCCGGAGGGGGAGGGCGGCTGGTACCCGAGGGGGCAAAGCCGGCTCCAAGTCCCACCCACCAGTTCCTTCCCACTCACTGGCCCCCCCCCCCCCCCCCCCCCCCCCCCCCCCCCCCCCCCCCCCCCCGGCGCTTTTCCGAGCTTCAGTCTCCCCACCCGACAGCCAGGCATAGAGCGCTCCCTGGCCGGTGGCGCTGGGATGGGAGCTAGAAGGGGTCGGGGCGCCCAAGGGCTCATGGGGGCAAGTGCGACCAGGGGCACTAGGGCAAGAACTCGTCGGTGTCACCCGGGCAAATCGCCCCCAATTCGCGTGACTCCCCAGGGGTGGGCGCAGCCCGCCCTCACCGCAGCCTGCGCCTAGGAACTTGGGGCTGTTCCGGCACTCTCCCCAGGCCCCTCGCCCTGCACCCCGCCCTCCACCCGCCCACAGGTACCCGGGGCTCCCGGAGCTGGGCGGGGCGGGCGGGACCCACATGACCGGGCAGGGCCAGACCTTCCCCCTGCCCGGGGCCCAGCAGGTCACGAGCCTGGCACCCCGCGCGCCCGCCCCTCGGTCTCCTGGCCTTCCTCTTCCTTCTCCCTCCAGGGCGGGAGACAGCAGCCCCTGCAGGACCTGCGCCCCCAGGAAGGAGCCGGTGAGTGAGGGGAGAGGGGCCCTCCCAGGGGCTCCGCAGCAGCGGGGTGGCTCAGGAGGGCGGGGTGCAGAGCGCAGCGCCTCACCAAGCACCCCGCCTGGTCCAGCCTAGCCGGGCCCCAGACTCCCCCACACCATCGCAGCCTGCGTGGGTCCTGGGGGCACTTTTTGAGCAAAATGGTGCTTTGACTCAGAAACCCTGGCGCGGGCAGGCGGGCTGGAGCTGTGGCCGGCCGGGAGGAGAGCCCTGGGAGGGCCCCTGGCTCGGGCTTCCTCCCGCACAGCAGCTGGGGTGGGGGGACCCCGAGGGTGCCCCCGCTGGGAGGAGGCCCCTCCCCCAGCCCCTCTGAGGGCGGCTTTGGTTGGGACCATCTTTCCTTAGCACAAAGGTCAGGACGCTGGGCTCCAGTGTAAACCCCAGTTCTGCACCCCCCAGATTTCCCTGTTTGAGCACCTGTGTCCTGACCTGAACCCCACTTCATTCTCGGCGGGGCTGGGACTTGAGGCTTTCTTTCCTCTCCTGTTGGGTGAGGTAGACGTGGCTTCATGTCACGAGTCCTTCGAGGTTGGGGGTAGTGGGGCAGGGGAGGCCCACCCCGCCAGGTGGGAGCAAAGACCAGCACACCTGTGTCTGGACACCCCTGGAAGCGGGAAGTCGGGCGAAGCCCCGCCTCTGTCCCCAGACGTCCATCCCTGTCCATCCCCGCCCCAGGAGCCTAGTGAGTCCCCAGCTTCCGGGGGTGCCCCACCTTCTCCCAACTCTCCTGGGCTCTAGAGCCCACGCCCGAGTGGGGGGTCCCCCCGCTCCTCCACATCCAGAAACAGCCCAGGCAGAGCCCCAGGGTGGGCTGGAGCCAGGCCAGGTGGGGGGAGGTGGGTCTTATTGGTTAAGGAATTAATGACAGAAAAAACTAAAACCAGGGTGGGGGGAGGGGGGCGGGGCGCTGGGGGTGTTAAAGAGGCGCAGGGCCCTGCTGGCGGCCGGGAATGGCCCGGTGCCCTTGGGTGCACGGGTCCTCGGTCTGGGTTGAGCGTCTTTGACTTTCCAGACTCAGCCTCTGGCGAACAAGCTCCCCCTCCACCCCGTGCCCCCATCACCCTCACAGCCTGACCCTCGGAGGGTCGGGGAGTGGGGCGCAGCTGTCGCCCCTGGTTCAGGAGGGGAAGGAAGGGAACTCGCCTCGGGGGCAGCCTGGGGTGGGACGCAGCCCCAGCCACCCTGCAGCCTCGCCCGGGGCGCGGACAGTAGCGCTGAGGCCCTCGATGCACGGGCAGAACTGCTGACGTGCCCAGAGGGGGTCGGCGGGGGCTTCCCAAGAGGACGGAGCTTCCCTCGAGGATGGGCGGGCGGCAGGCCGCAGCTCCCCGGAGCCCTCACCCGGCTCCCTCAGCTGCACGCTGGGCTGGGGGTGCCTGCGGCGGACATGGGCTTACTCTGCAGCTGGAGGGGGGGCTGCTTCCTGTTGTGGGGGCAGGGCCTGCCCCAGAAGTGCCCACACAGGCCAGCCCTGAGGGCAGCACAGCTGGCCCCTCCCCGCGTCGGCGCTGGGCATGTGCCCGCTCCTTCATCAGCCCAGGGCCGGCACCACCCGCTGGGCTCCGAGGCCGCCTGGGGCCGGGCTCAGCAGCCTGCTCTGCCTCCAGCCCTGGCCTGGGCCCGGAGGCCCCTCTGGGCAGCGGAGGGCGCTGGCACGGCAGGTGGTCAGAATGGCTGACCTGGGATGGGTGAAGGCGGACGGCGGCCTGGTGAATCCCGCTGCTCCAGGCCGGTTCTTCACGGAACTGGCTCCTGTTTGTCCACCCGGTCACTCCCGCGCCCCGTCTGTCTCCCTTCTCCATTTCGGCTCGGGTTGGGCCGGCCGCGGGGTGCAGCGGGGTGGGGGGCTGTGATTAACCCCGAGCGGCGCCAGGACACGAATTGCAGGCGATTTGTTCAGGACCCCGGGGCCTGTCCTCCCCACACCCTGGGAGGGCTCCCCAGACCAGGGAGGGCCCCAAGCCCTGCACCCCGGGGTGTGACGTGTCCCTGGAGCGGGGGCAGAGGGGGGAGCGTCCGAAGCAGGCCTGAGGACAGGCTGCCCCTTCCAGCACCTGCCGGGCGCCAGCCTGAGGACGCCGGAGGGGCGCCGGCAGCACACCCCGACTTACGGGCGATGGTTTGTGCATTTTAAATGCCGCAGTCAGACACACGCCCCATCTGCCGTGAGACCGTCTTCTAAAGGGGACTTTGTTAAAAGCTTAAGCCCCGTGTTTCCTAATCCACGACGTGGCAGAAACGGTCACGGTCGATGGTCCCAGGCCGGAAAATCAGCGCCGGGGGCCGTGTTTTCAGCTCAGCTCCAACCGCCTGGCCTGGCTGGGGGGCAGCCAGAGCCGCCGCCTCTGGCCTCACTGCAGACACGGAGCCGGCGCCCGCGTCCCCGACGGCACTGGCAGTGGCGCCGAGCCAGGGCGTGGTCTCCCCTCCCACACGCCGGCGCCCCCACAGCGCCCCGCGCCGGGTGCCCTGACCTTGGAGCGTGGCCAGCACCCCCACCCAGGCTGTTCTCTCAGCCGACTGCGCCGTCCGAGCCGGCCCAGCTGGCCAGCCTCCCCGGAGCAGCGTCGGCCATAAGAGGTGGGCTCGTGGGGGGGGGGGGGGGCGGTGGTCCTCTCTGTCTGAGCGACTCCCCAGGGTGCAGGCCGCCTCTTGCCCGCCGGGATAGGGAGGCCGGCTGGGGGGACCAGGTCTGGGGGCGAGGAAGGCCGGGCTTCTCCCTCCCGCCTGGGGCGGACGTCTAGGGACAGGACGTCTGGTCCCTCCCTCCCCCGCGAGCCGGTGCCGCCCGCTCAGCTGACGGTCACGGCGCTCTCGTCTCTTCTGAAAATAGAACTGCAGCGAAGGCCCTTGGGATGAAATGGGGTTTTCATTTCAACATGGTAAAAAAAAATAGACCCAGTGCTCCAGCGAGAGCTTTTGGTTACAGTTTCTTTGAAAACCAGAAGCTGCTGGGGGGGGGGGGGGCCTTATTTTCTTGTCCAAAACTTATTTAGCTGTCAGCAAAAATGGGGTGATTCTGGGCTGTCAGGGCTGCCTCTGAGGGTGGGGCCGGTGCCACAAGCTGAGGACGTGTTTCTGCTGGTGGCCGGGCGGGGACGGTCCAGGCCTCGCGGAGCCTGCGTCTTCACACTGGGCGCCGCTCCCCTCCTCTGGGGAAACACGTGCAGCCAGGCCCTCCGCTGGCCCCCGGGGCGAGGGAGCTGGCGCAGGAGGTCGGAACGTGAGACCCCGCCAGGGGCTTTGTCTTCCGCGCCGAGCACGAGTGACCCCAGGAAACGAGCCCGTGGAGCGCAGCAAACAGTTCTTAGCTCTGAAAAATACGCGGTCCGCAGAGGGCCGGAGGGAAGGGGCAGGACGCTGGCCCTGGAGCTCTGCTGGAGGCGGGGGGGGTGGCCTGTCGCAGGAAGCTGGTCGCCCCAAAGTATGCGGTTCTGGCAGCGAATGTGGATCAGTGTGGCTTGATTTTTAAAGTCACTTTTCACGATGCCCCTCCAGGGAGACAGGGCAGGGCCACTGCGGAGCCCATTTCGTTAACTTTGCCGCCATCTTTCCAGTGTCAGCAGCTCCCAAAGGGGGTGCCCCCAGACTTGCGTTTTGGGTGGTTTTAGGGCTTCCCGGTAAGGTACAAGGTGGGCCCCGGCTCGGGGTCCTCGGTGCAGACAACACTAGTGACTGGAAGCAGAGCCCGACACCAGCACAGATGTGAGCCCCAGCAGGGAGCTGGCCTGGGCGGCAGCAGCTGTGTCCTGGGCTGAGGGACCCCCCCCCCTCCCTGGACCACAGGCCCTAGAGCCGGGAGCAAGGGCGAGCCCCTGGGAGAGCTTGTGGGGCTGTGACTGGGGAGTCAGCAGCTCGGAGGACATAGGGGTGAGGAGGTGGTGAGCAGGAACGTTCCCCCTGGGGAGGGCGGGAGCCCTGCAGCCCCACCTCCCACCCCACCCCAGGGGGGGCTCCAGTCAGCCCAAGCTGCCAGCCAGGCTGCGTCTCTGGGAAAAACCAGTGGGAGGGACCGTCAGCCCCCACTGCCCTAGTGGCCCCCACAGCCCCGCTCCCCAGCTTTGCTCCTCAGAGCTCTGAAGATGGCGGCAGAGCCGCCTCCCCGGGCCCCAGCTGCTGGCACCCCTGTGACAGTGCCGCTGAGCCAGGCCGGCCAAGCCGGGGTCTGTGCGCCAGGTAGGCGCCGGCGGTGCTGCGGGGCCCGGCCAGGCTCTGAGCAGCCTCTTGTGGTTCTGTTTGGCTTGTTCTGCCTTCTGGGCCTCATCTGGGATCTGACCAGTGTCCTCAAAACTGCATATGGCCATCTGGGACCAAGGGACAGTGCCACTCCAGGAGGGGGGTTAGGGGCGAGGCCTGGCCGTGGGGACGTGGCCACCCCGGCTGCCTGAGGCTGGCGCTTCGATGGAAGACGCACCACGAGGTCCCAGGCGCGCCCCGTGATCACAGCCTGTGACAGTCTCGCAACAACGAAGCCACTGAGGACGCTGTTGTCAGCACGTGTCCCCGTCATTAGGCGACACCAGCTGTGTACAGCGGGGCCTGACAGCCCCAGGCCCACAGCCCCTGGGCAAAGCACAGCGTGTGTCCTCCCTCATCTCCGCTCTCACCGTGGGGGCGTGGCCGTCCCCCCACAAGTACTCAGGCACCCTGCCAGTGACTCCTCTCCTGGCCCAGGACACCTCCCGAGCCAGCGCCACACAGCCCCTGAGACCGGAGGACACAGCCTCAGGCCACGGGGAGCCTCCCCCACCTCCACAGGGTCATTGACCTGCTGTTGCAGGCTACGCAGTGACCGCATGTTGACCGCGAGGGCCACGGCCTTTTCTGAGCCTGCCTCCCCTCGGTGCTGAGGGGAGCTGCCCGAGCAGGAGTGTTTCTCCAGGAGCTCACTTTGGGTCCCCCGAGCCCGACCTGGGGCGGGGATGAGCATGTCCCTAGACGGGGCCCTGCGGCTCCTTCATGGTGGACAGAGGGTGGATGACTCTGCCTGAGTGTGAGTACCAGGGGACAGAGGCAGCTCCCTTTGGAAATTAGGGTGGGGAATTTTACACAGATCTGTTGCTTTGAACTGGACGTGTGTCCGGACACACGTTTGCCCCCTTGGGAAACACCAGCCCGGAGAGAACCTCCTCCCGCGGCCGCCAGGGCTGACTGGGGCTCTTGTGTTGCAGGGCCCGGCCGCAGCAGACATGGGGAGGAAGCTGGATCTCTCCAAGCTCACGGACGAGGAGGCCAGGCATGTCTGGGAGGTGGTGCAGCGGGACATCGACCTCAGGAGGAAAGAGGAGGAGAGGCTGGCGTAAGTGCGGTGGGGGGCCTCCCGCACCCCCTCGGGGCCATCCCATTGGGGTGCCGCTGCCGCTGGGCGGACAGACAGGCAGGTGCTGGGAAACTGTCCAGCCTCAGCTGGACATAATCAAATGGAAGGCTCGCCCTTCCCATCTGCTCCTCCGCCCCGACCCTCCGTCCCTGACAGGTTGTATTTCAACATGGCCAGCTGTGCCTTGTCTCTTTGGCGGGCAGTGCCCTTAGGCCACAGCAGGGCAAGAATAGGCGAGCCAGAGATGGGTGCAACTCCAGGGTCCCATGTGTCCCGTGGGGTCCCTGGTGGGTGGGCAGGCCTCCTGGGGAGGAGATATTAAGCAAAGGCTCTGGGAGTCACCACTTCCCAGGGCAAAGAGGAGGCATCTCATGCAGCGGTCTCAGCTGTAGGGAGGGATGTCCCTGTAAGTTGCAGCTGAGGCCTCCCTCTCCTGTGACCCTGCTGGCTCAGGCCAGGCTCCTCTGCGGGCGGGGAGCCTGAGGCCAGGTGCCCCTCCTTCAGGAGTGCCCAAGGCCGTTCAGGTGGGTGTGGATGGGCACCTTTTCCTGCATGATGGGGTGTGGGCTTCCTGGTGCCCAGCACTCAGCTGGGCGGCTGCCTGGAGACCAGACAGCAGGGGGTTCGCATGCGAGTCTGAGCTTGGGCGCACGTAGCTCGGGGTCAGCAGCTGCTCTCGGCTGGGGGGCGAGTCCACACAGGCGTCCTGAGGTGTTTTGTGTTTCTGGTTTGAGCACGGTGCCATCGGCCAAACATGCCCAAGGTGGAGCTGCCTCTGCCCATGAGTGGCCTTCTCCCCCTGACCTGTCACTCCAGGAACCACAGGGAACAGCTGAGGCGGCAGCCTCGGCCGCTCTGCTGGGGTCTCACATGTTGGGCTCGAGTAGGTGCCACCGCACAGCCAGCAGGTGAACCCCAAGGCATGAAAGCTTCTGGTCCCCAGGCCTGCCAGCCGGCCTGGCCCTGGCTGTGCTAAGGTCAAGACCAGACAAGAGAAGTCCAGCCCGTGGCACAGGCCGAGGGAGGCTGCCAACCCCATCCCCGCTGGACAGTCTGCTGGCTGGGCGCACCCCCTGCATTGACCAGGCCGTGTCCTGAGGGTGCAGCTCCACGCAGTGGGCGCCTGTGAACACCTGGAGTCTGTCCTAGCTGGCCAGTAAGGGAGTGACCGAGAGGCCACTGGCCTGCCACATAGTCTGGGCAGGTAGAAGCCACCAGAGTTGAGTCCCCAGAACTGGTGCAGCTGGTCATTGACTGGGGACAGCTGTCCCTGGCCCAAGCAGGACACTGGGCTGCTACCCCACACCCGAAAACTCAAAGGTGTGCAGAACTAGGACGCTGGTGACCGCAGCCCAAGGGGCTTCCGACGGAGGGGCCAAAGATCCACTCCCCAACAGTGTCCCGGGCAGGGCTGTGCCGAGGGCAAGTGTTCTGCCCGGAGGAGCCTGGGACGTGGCCAAGGCGTGTGCACCAAGGCCAGGACCTGCCGTGGACACGGCCACTTCCCTGTGTGCGTGTGGGCTGGAGGGTGTTTGGCTTCTCCATAGTCTGCTCCAGCTGCTGGCCTTGGCTGACCTGTGAGCTGTGGGGACAAGGGAGTTGGGAGAGCCACGCACTGGGAGGGAGCAGGTGAGGCGCCGGGAGGTTGGGCCCAGCTGTGGGGCAGGAAAGCGCCACGTAGAAGCCGGAAGGAAGCACCTCTGGTAGGACCATCTTGTGCTTTGGCCCCCTCTTCCCTCAGGGCTCAGATGTCTGGGAGGACCCGGCAGTGTGCCAGGGGAGGGGGAGTCTGCGCCTCAGGCAGGGCAGCGCGGCACAGCCCTGGAGACCCTGGGGACAGTGGCTGGTGGCCTCCTGTATGTGGCGCCTCCTCTGGAGCCCAGCACACGGCGGGGGCGGCGCGCCCTCCTGAGGAGTGGGTCTGCAGCCTGCTCAGCCTGGGAGGCTGGTCAGCAGTCGCCCCCACACCTGTGGCCTGGGTGCCCTTCCTGGTCACCTGGTGGGCTCAGCGTGCAGCCAGGAATGCCTGGCACCCACCGGTGCGGGGTCTCGGGGAGGGCCGCCGCCTTGTCTGCCGGTGCCACAGGGCCATCGGGGCAATCTGCGCAGGGTGCAAGGACACTCCCCACCCCGAGAGGCACAGACCCGATGGGGTACATTAGCCCTCTGGGTCACAGAAACATGAGAGTAGGTTGGTTTATCAGACGTGACCCAGCGCCAACAAGGGTGTAGGCGGAGGTCCCCAGGTCCAAGCATCCGGCGGCCAGGAACCAGCGCAGTCCTGCCACTGTCGGCCTGGAGGCAGCCCTGGGCTCTGCAGGGTGCGGCTCCACCACCCGCGTGATCTCCCAGCCCACGGCTCCCACCGCCTTGAGACCCGCCCCACCCCGCGGCCCGCTGGACAGTCTCTCCGGCTCTCTCCAGCACGCGGCCGCCAGGAGCCACTGAGCCCTTGAAGCGCGCCCAGCACAGTCGGGAACCGCGTCGTCCGCGTCACCAGCTTTAACCAACTGACACACGTGGTCGCGTGCCCGCCGGCGGCCACGTCGGATGATGCGGGCCCAGGCGGGAGTCCCGGGTTCCGCCCTGGCCAGCGCTGCCCTCCGAGCCCCCACTCTCCCCACAGACGCCGGCTCAGCCCTCGCCAGGAGGACTCGTCCGCCGCTCTCGCCAGAGGGGTCTTGATTGCTCCTCCACCCGGACTCCCCCCTACCTGGACACCCCGGAGGCCCCACCCGGACCCTTCCCAACCTGGACCCCCCTCCACCCGGACTTTCCCCATCTGGACGGCCCCACTCCAGACCCCTGACCCCGGCACCCCTCCACCCAGACTCCCTCCCACCCAGACATTCCCCTCCACCCAGACCCCCCCACCTCCACGGCCCCCACTCTCCATCCGGGAAGCAGCCCAGCTGCTGAGATCAAGTCCCCAGCAGTCAAGGTCGTCGCCCCCTTTCCCTCTCGCCGCGTCATCTCACAACCCCACTGGCTCGCAGACCCATCCTCCCGCCCCGTGCCCTCTGGCCCCCAGGGACCGGATGCCTCTCGGGTTTTCTAGAGATTTTAAGTACAGGAAAGACATTATTTTAACGTCATGTCCGATCAAAGGCCCGAGGGTCATCCCGTTAATAGTCCTGGCTCTTGAACTTCCTCTTGGGAAAAACCCGGAACTCCGGGCGGACACCCGCCACCCCGGCCCGAAGGCCCAGCGCGCGGGATGGAGACGGCCGCCTCGACCTGGCCTTCTAGTCATGTCCATGGCTGGTCTGTGGGTTGCCCCCTCCTGCTCCTCCCAAATCCTCCCCATGCAGAAACCAGAGGGGAGCTCCAAAGCCAAGGAGAGGAGGCGGAGCCGGGCTGGGTGACTCAGGGCTGGGGGAGCTGCAGAGAACGCCCTGCTTCAAGGGAACAGCCCCCAAGGCAAATATTAGCCTGCTGACTTGCCCCGATAAGGCAAACAGGTGGCGATGTGGGTTTACAACCTCTGCAAACAGACCGGATCCTGGGAACACAGACGAAAGGTCTCCCAGTGTGGGACGTGGGCAAACCGAGGCCGACTTCAAAAACAATAAGGAAATTAAAGTCCCCTTCCTGGGCCACTTGGAACCGCGGCAGCAGCTCCAGAGCTGGGCAAGGAGCCTGGAACGGGGTCAGCTGCCCGCGCTGTGCTGCCAGCCTGAGATCACTGCCGCGGCCGGGGCGCCGCCTCCCAGCGGCCAGCACCACTCGCCCCGCTTCGTCCCACCGCCTGCCCGGGACTGGAGGGCCAGCTCGGTGGTGGTGTCGAGGAGGGGCCCTGACGGCTCAGGATTCTGGAGACAGGCCCTGGGCTCTGGATGCCACGCGTGGCCATGGTTCCTTGCTGGCCCCTGGCGCAGATGGAAGACCAGGTCTGCCTGCAGGAGGACGGCCCTGGCCGGGCGCTGGGCGCAGCTGGCACCGCCTCTGGATACCTGCTCCCAGGCAGCTGCCCACACGCTGTGACCTGTTTGTACCAACCCCAGTGCCCTGCAGGCCCTGCTGCTGTCCTGTATGAAGGGCCACAGGGATGCAAAATTTCCCCACCAACCCAGTGCCAGCGCAGTGTGGGGAGCACAGACCCCCTTTTTGCACTGATGCTACTGAGCCGTGACCACACAGCCACCGCTCACTGTGGCCACCCGCTCCCCTCTGGATTCCACCAAAGAGCAGGAGAGCAGGGCAGGTGCGTCTGGCTGCCTCCCGCACCCCAGAAGGTGCCCCTGGAGGACGTCCGCCTTGACTGAGAGCAGAGGTGCCTCCCAGACTCCATGTCCACTGGTCAGTCAGGTTATGGATGTCAGTGGCCCGGAGGCCAGGGGCTCCATGGACAGCTGGCCAGTGGTTGGGTCTCCCACAGAGGCCCGCCGCCCCCTGCAGGAGTGCTGGACGGCCCCCAGGCCCTGGGTCCCGCCGGCCCCCACACCTCTGCTTTCCGTCCCGTCCACCCAACTCTGCGCCCCGCAGCCCGCGCCCTCTGTGCAGTCAGAGCCGCTCAGGCGCTCTGCTGTGCGGGACCCCCGCGTCCTTGCTATCGAGAAGCCAGGGAGCGCTGGTTTACAGGCGTCTGGTTTACACCTCTCCGTGGCTGCCCTGTCAGAAATGACACGCGGACACTTAAAAATACTCATTTCAGTGGTGGGGGAGGGCGCCGAGGCCGTCCCCGCGCCTGGCGAAGCCAAAGCTCGCTGACCACAGCGGCCTGGCCTGTGCTTCACACTCAACCCTCAGGTCAAGCGATGATGTTTATGCTACATGTCAGGTCGATGTCTTTTAGGAAATGACCAGATCTCGTCAAAAGATCCTAAGATTTCATAAACACGTCCTCATTCACTCTAAGACAGTGATGCTAAGCCCCTTACACGTTACCGTAAGGAATTTCCGTGAACAACGCAGGCCTTCGTGAGTGGGGGCAGGCCTTGCTCTGCCGGGCATGACATCCCGGGGGGCCGGGCCCAGCCTGCCGCTGCCCACGTGTGTGACGTGCTGTTTGGCTGAAGCTTTAGGAGAAAACGGAGCCTCCTTGGTGAGGAAAGGAAAGTCTCCACGCCCTTTCCAGGTGACCGTGGACATCGTTTCATGCCACTTGGTGACCCAGCAGGTGGCAGCTTCCAGAAGCTGCCCGTGGAAACTGCAAGCCCATGGGGCTGTTCCCTTTTGTCCCCAAGGTCCCCCCTCCCCGGTTTAGCCACATGTGCTATGCCATATCCAGACCCCCCCAAATGTCAAACACAACAGAGATCACACTCCTCATTCACCTCTCATCTCAGCAGAAATCTGGGCCTGGAAACAGCTGAGCAGGGAGAAATTTCCCAGAATTCTTCTTTGTGCTTAAAACCTGAGTGTTGTCCTTGGCAACACATACTGTTGCTTGTTTTCCTTGAAGGGACAGGCTCACATTGTCCATTTTGAGAAGATGTTCCCAACTCCCCATCAGGGCCGTGTCCCCCTCGGCTGCACTGAGAATGAGAGGCCCTCGTGGGGAAGGCTAGGTGACCTCCAGGTTTTCTGGCTGATGCACAGAAGCAATGGAAACAGGAGATGGACTGGCCCCACCTGGCTCCAGGTGCCTCCTGTTTGAGGCAAAGACTGCCTTGTGGGTGCAGCTTTGGCTGGCACTAATCAGTGCAGGCCACTTGGTCATTTTCTTCTTGACTTTCAAAACGGGGGCAAGTCTTTTTCTCATGTCTGCCTCATGAGGGTGTCCAGAAACAGAGCAGAGGGAAATTGGTGAAGGCCCTCAGTGCCACTGTGAGCCAGACGGTGCCTCCCAGAGCCTCTTAGAGCTGCTCCGCCGTCTCCAGCTCCCACCGCTCTGGTGGAACCACAGAGCAGAGTGCCCAGGAGACAGTGGCCCCAGTGTCTGTCAGATTTTTGTCACTAAAAAGGATTAGTCTCATCTCACCTGAAAATATTAGGCTTGGCAGGCCTTCTCTGAAATCCAGAACAAAGAGAGAGTGTTCATTATCTGGGGGTTCATTTTCCACCCAGTCTGGGCGGGCCGGGTCACCAGGAAGCTACGCCGTTGGGGCCTGGAGGTCGAGGAGGATGCAGCTTCCTGGGCTCTCCAGGGGTGTGATTCCTGCTCTGGACGCTCCGTGCCGACCACCCGCAGCCTCACTCAGCCAGGCCCAGCCTGGGGTCAGCTCAGCTCGCGCTGCACAGACCAGGGCTCCGTGCCAGGACATGTCTCCTGGCTTCACCCTCAGGACACTGTGGCCCCTGCAGGGGGTGCAGTGACCCTCAGGACACACTGCTGACCCTCCTCTGCCTTCTCAGTAGGCTGCCGGCCTGACCTTCACGTACCTGTGGGGGCCACTAACTCAGGCTGGTGGGCAGAATAGGTGCGGCTGGCAGGTCTCGCTGGAGCCCAGCCTCACCCCCGTGGGAATAACCTTTCCCAGCGTCCTCTGTGACGTCTGCTTTGCTCACTGGCCTGTGACCCACCTGGGTTTTTCTCTCTAAACTCCTCGTAAACACTTAGACCGAGCAACGCCTGGTTCTAAATAACCCTGTGGGTCGGCCAAGCTGCACCCCCGAACTCCAACTGGCTCTGTCCCTGCTGGGCCCGCCGTCCCTGGGGGAGACTGGACGCAGGCTGCTCATGGCCGTGGGTCCCGACTCATGAAGCTCATCAGGGTCCCCAAGCTCAGTCTCTGGGATTCGGGCTCCCCATCAGAGAAGGGCAGGCTCGGCTCAGCTGGGGCCGGGCGTGGGCTCCAGGCCCCCTGGACAGCCTCTTCCTGTAACACGTGCTCCCGGAGGGTGTGTGAGCAGCCGGGGCAACCTCCCCAGCCTGTGATTCAGAACTGAATGGTGGCCCGAAGGAAAGTCACGGGCAACTGCCTGGAAAATCGCCCCTTTATAAAGAGTCGCAAAAATGGTTAAAAGCAATTTTGTTTCTATGAAAATTCTGTACCCCAAGGCCAGCCACCCCCGCCACCTGGTAGAGTGGGGAGCGGGCGGGCTGCAGTGAGAGCTGCGGCAGGAGCCCTTCCCTGATGGGGCCCCGCTTGTGTGAGCGCTCCCGTGTTCACACGTGTTACACTCGTGTGCTCGCCCGTGTGTGCGTGCATGTGCACGGGGTGCATGCGTGCATTTGAAGGCAGGCTTCCAGCGTGTGCTGCCGTCTGCTTTCCTAAGGGGCTTGAAGGGCCGGATTGAGAGGGACAGTGCCCAGCGCGAGCTGCTCTCCGACGCGGCCCAGCTGCGCGAGACCCACTGCGCCCGCTGCCTGCAGCCCCTCCGGCTCCTCGGGGGCCCCAGGAGGCAGTGCCTGGACTGCCACCTCTTCGCCTGCCAGGACTGCAGCCGGGCGCGCCCCGAGCCGGAGGGCTGGCTCTGCGGCCCCTGCCACGCGGCCAGGTGAGCGGCGAGGGCAGGCGCGCCCGTGGGGGGCCCATGGTCCCGGGGCGGAAAGCAGGAGTCAGGCCCGAGGGGCCCAGGCGGCTCACCCGCATCTGGTCGTCTGCAGAGTCGTGAAGATGGGCTCGCTGGAGTGGTACTACGGGCACGTGAGGGCACGCTTCAAGAGCTTCGGGAGCGCCAAGGTCATCCGGTCCCTGTGCGGGAGGCTGCAGGGCGGAGGTAAGGAGGGGAGCCCAGAGGCAGGAGCCTCCCCAGGGCCCGCTTGTTCCCAGGCGAGGCTCAAGCGCTGCTGGGGGCCTCCAGACCCCTCGCGGGCTCAGCCCTGCAGCCCACTGGAGGCAGCTCCTTGGGAGGGGCCGGGGCGTAGAACAAAGCACCCTCACCTGGACAGGTTGAAGTGAGAGGGGCCCCCCCGGCGATGCACCCGCACGCCTGGACCTTGTCCCTCTCTCCGGGGCTGCTGCTTCCAGGCTGACCTCTGTCCCGGGGTGCTCAGCCAGCCGAGGTTTCCCTGCAACAGAGGGAGCTCCCCGCGCCCCTGGCAGCACCCAGCGGGTGGAGGGCAGGGCGGGGCGCGCACCGCACACGTCGGAGAATCCCAACCCCAGAGGCAGCCCCGCTCCCGGGAGCCACGGCCACAGCACCTGCTCCTCCCTGGGCAGTGCTGAGACTGGACCCGGCTGAGGGATCTGGGGATCTGTGTTGGGGAAAGGCCCCCCACCCACCCCCACCCCTGCCGGGAGAGTCCAGGGCCCCTGGAGCCTGCCAAGGGCGGCAGTGCCGCGGGCGGGCCAGGAGGTGGCGCTGTGGGGCAGCAGGCGCGTCCCCTGCTCCCGCCTCTACTCGGGCCCCAGGCCTGCGGCCCGGGTCCTGGCAGTGTGGCCAGGGGCTCCCTGCTGGACACCTGGACACTCGGGATGCCACACGCTGGACGCAGGCGCTCGGAAAGGGCTCGAAACTGGGAAAGTGTGCCGTGAAAAAGGGATTGCTTAACAAAATAAACAAGGCGGGAGGGGAGGTGGCGGAAGCCAATGCCGCGGACGGGGAGCAGCCTGGGGGGGCCCGGGGTCTCTCTGGGGGAGGCGCCACCTGGAGAGCAGCAGGCGCTGAGGGAAGTGGCCTCCCTGGTGGAAGGTGATCCCGCGCCTAAGCGGGGAGCTTAGGCCCCCCTGGCTGTGGCTGCAGCACCTTTTCTCCCACACAGGCTCACCCGACGGAGCGCACGGTGGCCCCGGCGACCAGGGTGAGTCCCACACGCGGGGCTCCTTGGATCCCCCGCCTGGGGGGGTCAGGAAACCGCGAGGGGTCCATGGAATCCGGGCTTTCGGTTCTGACTTGCTCTCTGAGGGGGACTGGTGTGTCTCAAATGCCCCACCGGGCTCGAGGTGTGGGACCCAGGGGCTGCAGGGCTGGGCTCCCGAGACGCCCCCAGGCCTCTGGACGCCCCCTCTACTTTCCCTCGCGTGCCAGGCCCTGGCTCCTGTGCCTCCCACCAGGGGTGTGGGGCGTCACTCAGGTGCGTCTGGCAAGGACAGACCCGCACTCGGCACTACCCCTTCGGCCCCCCAGGGCACAGGTGTCCACCTGCCCACCCCCGAGACTACCCCACCGAGGCCTGGGCGGTGAGGGGCAGGCCAGGCCCAGAGGCCCACAGCCCCACAGGCCGGCTTCCCGCTTCGGAGCCCCAGGCTTCTTAGCTGCCTCCCTCCCCACAGAGGCCTAAGGCACAGACCGGCCAGGCCAGCGTGCGCAGGAGGGCCTGGGTGCGGCCACTGGGCGGGGCCAGTGCTCCGGTTGGGGGAGGAAGACGGGGGGCAGAGCTGCCCCCCACAGCCGGGTCTTCAGCTGCAGGAGAGTGGCAGCGGGCAGGCTGGTCGCCGGCAGGAGTGGCTGCTGCCACAGGCCGGGGCCAGCACAGAGCTCACACGCGCGGACGGTCCTTGTGAGGCCGCAGAGGCCTGACCGGATGCGTCACCGTGCAGGGGTGGGGGTGGGTGGTGAGTGGAGGATGGTTAGGTCGTGGGTAGGGGATGGGTGGGGGTAGAGGCTGGGCTGTCCCCACGTGTCCCCCGCGGAGTCACGCAGGTGTCCGCTACAGGGGGGCCCGAGCCGAGCCCTGGAGAGAGAAGCGGGGACGGCGAACAGACGGAGGAGGATGGAGACCCGGCCGCGGCCGCCCACGCCCAGTCCCTGGGCAGCAGAGTATGTCCAGCCGCCCTGCCCCCGCCAGGGGCGCCTCGAGTTCTGACTTCCTCATACTCGGGTTCACTCAGGCAGCAGGGCCCAGAGGGCAGGCGGGGACCCAGGGGCAGGGAGGCACCCTTGGAAGGCAGCCTTGGTCTCCCACAAAAGTAGGTCCCCTCAGACTTGCCTGTGGGAAGCGTTTGAAAGGCTTTTGTTCTTGCCAGCCCTGACTCTCGTTTTTGTTGGTGGTGGTTTCTGTTTTCACTTGTTTTTGGTGATAAAGACAAGAACAGTAACCCCTGGGCTTCTGGCGGGCGGTGCGGGGAGCAGCCCGGGTGGGGAACAGCCTATTGAGCGCACATGGAGACACTCTGGGGGGCAGTCGTGGCTCAGCCCGGCCCATCCGCCCTTCCCCGGCCCAGCAGCGGCGCCGCCTCTCCATCCACGGCTCGGACTTCCAGGCGGACTCCGACGACGGCTCTGGGGCCTGCGGCCGCCCCCCCAGCCTGTGCACAGGCTCCGGAGCCACCGCTGGCCTGCAGGTCAGTGGGTTCCCTTCCTGCGATGGATGCTCAGGCCCGGTGGGGGCGGCACGCTGAGTGCCCAGTGGTCAGGCCTGGCATCCAGGCACCACGTCGGGCGTGAGTGGGGCCAGGGGCTGAGGAAGTGGGGTGCAGTGCAGTTGGGGTGTGCACGTGGCCTGGGCCAGGGGACCACAGCCAGGGCCCCGAGCCAGCACCAGAGAGGTCTCCAGGTCCTGCTCCAGCTGCCAATCCAGCCTGGTGTGTCCATTTCTGGTGACCTCCAGGCCCAGGACTGCTTCCTCCTGACCCCACACCCCAGCACAGCCAGGCAGGAGAGGAGCTGGAGCCTCAGCACCATGTCCTTGGGGACAACAGCACAACAGGGGGACCTAATGCAAGCCAGGGTAGGGGGTGTCAGGACCCCATCCCTCGCCTTTGTGCCCTTCAGGGACTGTTACAGTGCATGTGGCTAGAATAGGGCTCTCACTCTGCTCCGTATCAGCCCCAGCCCCCTCCTGGGGAGTTAGTCTCGAGTGAATCCCAGCCCTGGAGCCATCAGAGGTGTCTGGTCCCTTGTGTGATGTGGGGCCCAGGGTTTGGGGAGCCCCAACCCCTCCTGGGGACTCGAGGCAGAATGACAGCAACTGCCTCCAGCATGATTTTTCAAAGGGAGCCGCAAGGACTGGAGCCCACAGGCGCCTGGCGTCTGGTCAGCTGACAGCTGATCCTCAGACAGGCGGGAAAGACCCACATTCCGAGGACTGTGCCCCCACCCCCGAGTAAAAGCTCCTGCAGCTGACAGGACCTGTGTGCTCAGGCCCCCACAGGTGTGCCCTGCACGGAGGTGGCCCCCACCCAGGGGATCGAGGTCCCTCAGGGGCCTGCTGCCGGGGCCTCTGGAGCCCACCCTGACCCGGAAGAGCAGACGGACGGCTCCTTCCCAGCCAGACCAGACGCCCTCGCCCAGCTGCCCCTGCCCGCTGAGTCCTGTGTGACAGCCCTGGGGGTTGCCACCCCACCTGGTGGGTGCCCTGGCCTTGGCTTCAGGTGGGCTCGGCAGGGGAGGGGGTCCCTGAAGACTGCCCGCCACCCCATTTGTGCAGCCTGCGTTAAAGTCTCCCCTGCTTCCCTGTGATCGTCCTGGGGAAGTGGTCCTGGGGGCACCAGCCCCCCCTGGCTGCAGACCCCCTTGCGGCATGCAGGAGTGTGGCACCGACCCCGAGCGGCCCCTCAGCTCCTGCCACCCCCCAGGGAGGACACTGTGTAGGTGTGGGCTGGGGACATGCTGCTGTCCCAGAAATGCTGGGACCACGGGTCACCCCAAGCGACTGTCCTGACCTCAGGACAGGGCCGCTCCAAACCTGGGGATGGAGGCGGCACCTGAAATGCTGCAGCTCCGGGGACTGGTGTACCTGGGTGATGATGCTCCTGGGACTGCGGTGCACCTGGGACTGCGGTGCACCTGGGATGATGCTGCACCTGGAATAATCTGTACCTGGGATGATACTGCACCTGGGATGATGCCACACCCAGGACTGTGGTGCGCCTGGGCGCCAGCGGTGCATGTCTTCCCTCTGGTGCTGCCTCCTCCACCCCTCGTCTGCAGCTCTCAGGGAGTCTGTGCCTCCACCGGCTCAGTTTAACTCTGTGGCCAGACGGTTTGCCCATAATGAAATCCCGACTGCCGTCTTCCGGGCCCTGCGGGAGCGCGTGCCAGCTCAGGAGTTCAGCCTCCGCCTGATGGAGAGCCGAGGAGCCCGCAGGCCGCTGCCTGCTAACGAGCCCCTCCCTCCATGGCCGCAGCGCGGGGCAGCTGCCGGGAAATGTGGTTAAACACCGTCTGCCCGGAAGTCGGGCCGCTGGCTGGTTCCCTTCTCATTCTATTAGCGGCGCCATAATCTCATGACCCACAGGCTGGCGAGCGTCGGGCAGCACCCGCGCCCCCGAGGGTGACGATGGCCCCCTCAGGTCACGGGCCTGAGACCTGACGCGCTGCGCTCCCTCTGTGGGCCCCGGGCCTGGGCACCAGGGCAGCGGCGGGGGGCGGGCAGAGAGACCGTCACCGGGCAGCGGCTTCCCCGCAGTGGCCGAGTCCCGGGCCCAGCTCTGGCCAACTGACTGCCGAGCTCTTTAGTCTAAGATGCAGTTTTCACCCATCAACAAACATCTCAGACCAGAAGGGGGCCTTCCTGACAGCGTGTGGGGGTGGCCCGGAGCGCCGTGGGGTCACGGTGCTCTAGGCAGCCGCTTGGCCCCGCGCCGCCGCCGCCTCGGCTGGTCCCACGGGTGGTGGCCCTGAGCCGCGCTGCTCACCGCGGCTGCTCGGGGACCCCCCGCACGCCTGTCTGCTTCAGCAACCACATCTACACCACCTGTGGGTCGGGACCGGGCTCAGCTTGACCATGTCCCCAGCAAGGGTGTCCCAGGCCAGGCCAGTGCTCTCCTCTGGAGCCCCGGCCTCCGCAGCCTGTCCAGGTCGCTGGCAGGGCCCGCGGTGCTGGCGTGGCCGGGGGCACGCCGAGGACGGAGACAGCTGGGGCAGCCCTGCCTTTCTAGCGTGCCCTGGCGCTGGCACCAGCTCGTGCGGCTCAGCCCTGACGGCCTGGGTGACGGCGCTGCCCTCAGTCTGCCCGGGCGAGGACCTGGGGTAGTGAGGCCCGGGGAGCCCAGGAATGAGCATCTGGGCCACAGCATGGGTGACCCGCGCGGGGAGTCTGCGCCAGATGCATCTGGCCCCCAACAGCCGCGTCTCCTCTCAGCCGTGCGGAGCGCCGGGCCTGCTGGGGCCTGTCTGCTCTTGGCCTCCAGCCTCGGCGGGGCCGCAGGGTGGGGCCTCCGCTTCCGCGGCTCCCTGCAGCGCCCGGCCTGCCCGGGTCTCCGGCTGGTGTCAGGACGCCGCCCGAACACCAAAGGAGCAGCGTGGGGTCCGCATCACCTTCATCGGGGAAAGCTCTTCCCTCCCAGTCCTTCAGCCCCCGTCTCCCCCCGAAGGGCCGGCCGTCGCTGCGGGTGAGCGGCTCCCCTCCCGGTGCCCGGCCGAGGTGGACAGCTCTGATGAAGAGAGCTCCCGGGCCCGCAGGCTGCCCCCGCGCCCTTCCAAGCAGGGAGGCCCGGCACCCGAGAGCCAGGTAAGCGGCCTGGGAAGGGCTCTCGGAGGCCGCTCTGGGCGGCGCCCGTGTCCCTGACCACAGTCCTCGCAGGCGATGCACAGGCCTGCGGGCGGGGCTGCCCTGGAGGCGCGGCCCCTCTCCCCTCTCTCAGCGAGCCCTGGGCAGGGCGAGCTCACACCCGCAGACACTGTGAATACCCCTCCATGCCCAGACGCCCCGCTGCGCTGCCCCCGACCGACCGCCCGGTGGCCGCACAGCAGGCGGTGGGGAAGGCGGCGTCGCGGGGCTGGAAGGGCCGGAAGAATCGATTTTCACTCCTGACTCTGGGCGACTCGGCGATTCAGGCCTGGGGATGTGGGTCTTCGGTCTCTGGGAGATGGCCTGGTGCGCGCAGCGGGGGCCGAGCCCTCCCAGATAACGACTTTTAGTTTGATCCGCTGGCAGAACACGCGCCTTCCTGTGCGGGGGCAGGGGCGGCCACGCCTCGCCTCTGGGGTCAGCCTCCTGCCGCCGTCCACCTCCTGTTGCTGTCCTCGGCCTGCCCCCGCCGGCACCGGCTCTGCTCCTTCTGAGTGTGCCACACTTTCGGTCACCTGCGGGTCCTGCCACTGTGGGGCCGTCGCTGCGTCAGGATCTGGTGCTCCCCAGGGCGTGGGGGGTGGGGGCTGCACCCTCCGGCCACTGTGGGCTGCCAGGGCCTGTGCTGCCTGCTGCCTGGCCCCAGGAGCCCAGTGGCCAAGGCCCTGGCAGGCAGGGACACCGGGCCCGGGGCTCAGGAGGCCAAGGCAGCAGCCAGCCTGCAGGAAGACCCCGCGCTGGAGCCCAGCAGCCACGTCCAGGGAGTGGGTGGTGCCCACCACTCCCCATGGGCCGTCGCCCGCCCATATAGGGCCCTGCTGCCTGTCCCACTTTGCACTTCGGGCCGGCAGGGCGTGTCTCCTTTGGGGCAGATGTGACGGGACGAGACAGGGCTGGGAGGGGTGAAGAGCCTGGGCGGTGGGCACGAGTGTCTTGGGACCAAGCTCAGGACGCCCGAGTCCTGGGCGACGTACCTGCTGGTGGGGCCGGGGCCCCTCCGCCTGAGTCTGAACACCAGGAGAGGGCAGGACCGAGTCACCAGCACCCCATCGGCCCAGCGGGCCGGAAGTCAGCCGTGGGGGCTGTGAGCCTGGGGCTTGTCTCTGGGTGACGCTAAAGCCCCAGGCCATGGCACGGGGGCCCAGCGGAGGGACAGAGGCCAGAGTTGGCCTCTCTTGTGAGAAGCTCCACCAGGGAAAGCTCCTCCACGCCTGTTCAAAAGTGGTTCATCTTCAGGAGCCGGGGTGCCGCGGGACCACCAGGCGCAGCCTGCCCTACGGGGCCAGGACTGGGTGCTCCCGGCCAGCTGACACAGAGGACGGAGAGGACCCCAGGGACAGCCTCTCCCCGCCCCCAGCACGTGTGACAGGTGACCGACCCCGGCCTGTTCATTCCAGCATCCGGTCGGCAGTGAGCCCACAGACGCCGACATAGAGGAGGTGACCCTGAGGAGGAAGCTGGAGGAGCTGACCAGCCACGTCAGTGACCAGGGGCCCACATCCGAGGAGGAGGAGGGCCAAGAGGAAGAGGCGCGGCCGGACAGGAGCACCCCCGCGGAGGACCCCCCCGAGGTGAGCCATGCACGCAGCCTCGACAGGACACAGAGGCAGAGCCGGGGTCCACGCTGTAACCAGCCACCGGCCAGCCCAGGGTGCACAGCCAACCCCGCGGGCGCTGGGGCCGCTCCAGGAGTGGGGAGAAGCAAGCCTCATGAGGCCGGGCCCCAGTCGGGGCACCTGCCGTCTGTCCCCACACGCGCCCTTCCTCCCCAGGGAAGTGCAGCTGCAGGCCAACCTTGCGGGCAGGGGAAGACCCCCCAGAGCCCCCAGGACCCCGTGCAGCCCGGCAGGACCACGGACGAGCAGCTGTGCGAGCTGGAGGGCAGAGTGGCCATGACCGCCTCCGAGGTCCAGCAGGTGGAGAGCGAGGTAGCCAGTGACCCTGGGGAGCTGGGGCCCCAAGCCCTGCCCTTTCCCGATTACCTGGTGGCAGCAGGCTGGGCTTTCGGGACAGGAGAAGGGGCTTGGGGAGCAGGCTCGGCCAGTGGCACCTCCTGGCACTCAGGACCAGCTTCCCGAGGGTCCTCTGACCCTGAGTATGACCCGCATTGGGGAAGACCGTGTCGGCCGTGGGCCGTGTCCCAGGCCAGAGGAGAACACCGGCCTCCCTAGGACAGCTGGGGGATGCCCTGCCCTGCTCTCACCCGAGCCCACTGCGCAGAGGGGCCTGCCCCTCAGACCACAGGGAGCCACACCTGCTGGTGTGAGCTGTGCCTGCTTGGGGACAGGCCCCTCCAACAGCCAGGGAAGGCGATGAAAAGCGGGGGGGCCAGGAAGTGCATCTGGTTGGGGCCCCAATCTTAGCAGGAAGCATAATCACACTGGTGAGTCAGGCAGCGCTTTCTGCCCTGAGGCACGGAGAGGCCACCTGCGTGGGCCTGCGCCCCCAGCACCCAGCGGGCACCTGTCTCCGGTTACTGCAGGTTTCGGATATCGAGTCCAGGATTGCCGCCCTGCGTGCTGCGGGGCTCACGGTGAGGCCCTCGAGCAGGCCCCGGAGGAAGTCCAACCTGCCGGTGAGTGGGGCTTGTGTGAGTCCTGCCAGAACTGACCCGGGAGCCCAGAATGGCCGCCTGCCCGTGAAGGGCTGCCTGGGTCTCCTTGTGACGGGTTCCTTGCTGCAAAAGGCGCCTGAGATATGGAAACAGCCTCGTGCACCCACGCACGGTGCAAAGGCCGACGAGGCCGCCTGGGTGCAGCAGCCATGGGCTGACGCGGGGCACAGCTGGCAGGGGTGGCGGGAGGATGTGCGTGTCTGAGTCAGGCCGGGGCGCGTCGGAGTCCTGGTGAGGAAACCGCAGAGCTTAGGCTGCAGCTGGGGCTGCCCCGGACGCCCGCTAGGCCTGAACTGCGGATCAGCCACGAAGCATCTTCCATCAAGCAGACCTGCCCGGGGGATTCCGCTCAGCTTCGGCATCGGCTGCACGCTGTCCGACCTGAGTGCGGGTGGGGGTGGGGAGGCCCAGCGCCAGCCCCGCTGACCAGGCAGGGAGTGGCCACTGCTGGGGCTGGGCCTCACCAGGCCGGGGCGCTCACGGGGTGGTGGTGACGGGCAGGCTTCTCCCTTGTCCTCCAGATATTTCTCCCCCGACTTGTTGGAAAACTCGGCCAGAGCCCGAAGGACCCCAGTGCAGATGTTACACACGAGGCCCAGGTAGGCGCCACCCACCCAGCTCTGGACACGCACAGAGCAGAGCGGCTGCCCCTCTGGACACGCGACGGTCCCCAATCAAGGCTGACACATGCCGACTGCACGCCCTCTCCTCTCCAGCTCCTTCTCTGGGGGTGCAGAGGTCGTCTCTGGGAGTGACTGTCGGGTGACACCGGCGCTCCCCGCACAAGGGTCAGGCTGGGGTGGGAGGCGCGGGAGACAGTGCTTGTGGGCCTGGAGCCTCCAGCTCAGGCCAGGCAGCGGGGCCTCCCTGCCTGCCCCACCATCATCCATGCAGGCTTCCGGGTTGCCCTGTGCAGGTCAGCTGCTCCACAGGCCTGGGCACAAGCCTCCATGTAGGTGGCACAGGTGCCAGCTGGCCAGCAAGGGCCCTGGGATCTCGGGTGCTCAGGAAGGGAACAGGGCCTCAGGGGAGGGGTGCAGAGGAACCCCATGGGCCTGTTGGGAAGGTGGTGGCACCACAGAGCAGTGGGAGGATAGAGCTGCTGGGTGGGTGGCCTGCCTGGAGGGGGCTGCCCACCAGGAGAGGGTGAGTTCCATGCCCTGCCCACAGCCCCATGCCTACTCCCACAGCCAGGCCCACTGCCACAGCCACGCCCACTGTCCAAGGCCCTCTGCCCCACAGCACCCCCACTGCCCCACACCACCCCCACTGCCCCACGCCACGCCCACTGCCCGTGCCACGCCCACTGCCCCACGCCACGCCCACTGCCCCACGCCCCTGCAGCTGTCACAGCATCTCGCCCCCCCCCCCCCCGAGTCGTAGCAGCGGCAGCTCTTCACACTTAAAATGGCATTTCTTCTCCATCCTTCCGCCGGGTGCTGAGAAAACCTGGTGGGCAGGCCTGGATGTCCACGCCGTCCTGCTGACAAGCAAAGAGAGGCTCAAGCCCCCAACAGCCCTGGCAGAGGGGTCTCGGCCCAGGCCGGCCCTGACTTGGCCTGTCCGCCGGCCCCCAGGGACAGCCACGGCCGAGCCCGGCAATACCCCAGGGGCCACACCAGGGGACTCTGCAGGTTTGCTCTCGTCTCCTCTGAAGAGGCAAAACAGAAGCAGTGACCATGCTGCGGAGAGGAGATTACCGGGAAACAAGAGGAAAGCGGGTGACCAAGGGGCTGCTGGCTGAGTCCGGCACATTCCGCCTCCCCAGCCCAGGAGAGGGGCTCCGGGCCCCTGCAGAGGAGGAGCTGTGGCGTGTCCACGCAGGTGGTCAGGGCCGGGCGGGGTGGAGCCCGGGCTGCGGGCCTGACCCGTGCTCCTCCCCATGCCACCCGACGCTGGGGGCTCCCCAAAATCTAGGCATCTCCCTTATGTTCTGGCACTTGGGGCTTAATTTATTGATAACGCGTATTTTTGTGACAAAGTCAAATATTTCCCGAGGACAATATACTCGACCTAACTAGCTAGAATCTGGGGGAGCAGCAAGAGGCCAGTGGGCTAACAGCTGAGGGAGCCCAGAGCCGCCTTCTCCTCCTAGGTGCCGCCTGCACCCTACCTTCTGAAGAGGACGTTCAGCAGCGCCCCCAAGAGTCCAGGTGAGCATTACTGCCCCCAGGCCGGGAGGCGAACTTGGGCGTGAGAGCGGCTGGCCTGGCCTCTGTGTCTCTGCGTCATTTGAGGGGCACAGCACCTTGTGCCCCGACCCCAGAGGACCCTCCAGCGCCGCTCCAGCTCGCGACCCCTCCAGGAGCAGGCGTGTGGGGCGACTGGAACCTGCTGCCTTGCGTGTGCAGTGCCCCATGCTTTGCAATGTGAATCCTCCCCGGACGGTGGCCCCGGCCTCCCCACACAGCACGGCACAGCCCTGCCTGCTGCGGCCCAGTGGTGGCCAAGACAGCGGCTAGTCCCGGGCGGGCAGAGGCGAGGCCGGGCTGTCCGGTCTCGTGTGTCCGCCGTCGCTCAGCTGCGGCCCCTTCGCCAGTTCAGGGCCCTGTCCCCACGTGGAGCTCTCTCAGGCCCTCCCTCCATCTCAGGGTCTCCTGACACCCCCATGTCTGAGCTTAGCCCTCGCCACTCCACATTCCGGCTCCACCGCCGCCGAGGCTCCCCCTGCTCAGGGCCATCGTGGGCGCCCAGGAGCCTGCAGAGCGAGGGGCCCTCACAGCGCCGCCACTGACCTTTGCTGCTAACCCTGGCACTGCCTCTGCCCCTCCCACTGCGGGTGTGTCTGGCTGTGTTTGGGAAGACACCCCTCTCCAGCGGGCAGTGTCTGGGCGCCCTCCAGCACGCGCCGCCGACCTTTGCTCTGGACGCCCCTCGCTCACTCTCCCACCCGCCACTGCCCTGGAAGTGCTGCCAGGCAGGTAGGAGGCAGGTTCCCCACCTCCTCCTGGGGCCAGAGCGGCAAGTCCTGCTCCTCCTGCGTCTGCCCTGCCTGACCCGCGGTCACATGTGTCACCCCACCCCCAGGCCTGCTCCCACATTATCCCCCAGGCCTCCCAGCACACCTGTGGGTTACTCTGGGGCAGAGTGGGAGCCCAAGAGCTGAGATGACCTCCTGACTGAGGGACTCCATCAATCAAAGGGGCACCTTTGCAGAGAGCCCACCTGCTGAGGGGCTCGCAGAGGCTGCTGGAGTCCCACAGGCTGACGCTTGCGGGGTTCTCCAGCAAGTCTCACAGCCACACTCCAAGTGGAGGTTCACGTCCACTGCAGGAGAACTGGGGCTTTTCCCTGAGCCCTTTCGTGATGGCTCTTGTCCAGTCCAGGGGCCTGTCACGTTCTATATAGGCCAGAGTATCTACCACCAGGCCCCCCAAGGCTCACGGGCACCCTGGGGGCTGAACAGCACAGCTGCAGCGTCTCACCCTTCACGCTCTTGTTCCCGAGCAAGGGTCCGCGGCCCAGCGTGTGGGGCACAGTACTGCGGCACCCCAGCTGTGGAGAAAAGACAGAGCATTACTGCAAAGTCAGGAGGCAGGAGGAGGGCCAGATCTGTCTCCCCAGCCAGGGCCAAGATTGGTTCATGGAAGTGGAGGCAGGGACTTGAGTGGCCTGACCAGGCCTGCTTGATTGGTCGTGAATCAGCTCTGCCTATGGAGATTCTGCACCTGCGCACGGCGGCGTCTGAGCACCCGCCTGGAGTCTGCAGAGAGCTTGTCCTTGAGCAGCATCTGTGGAGAACCAGCCTTGAGGGAAGTTAAATACGTTGAATGGAACAGCTGTTGTGCGGCCTGATGGTCGGAGGGCAGAGTGGACTTGGCTTCACCCCAAGACCAGCTTCGGGGGGGGTGCTCTCCCTGGCCTGCGGGTCAGGCGGGCGTCCTTCAGGGTCAAGGTGGAGAGGGCACCCATCCTTCCTGCTCAGCAGCAGTGACCCCTGGCCGCCATCCCCTAGCGGTGCCCTGAAGTGGGGATGCCTGGCAGAGCATACCCGCCCCATTTGGGCGTCGCTGCCCCGGGGAGCGTGGGCAGGGAAGGTGGCTCTCGCACAGCAGGAGAGAGAGGAATCTGATTGCCGGCTTCCGGGTGTGAATACTTTCACGTGGTTGGTTTCAAGCTACCAACTCGATGCCACTAAGGGTGGCCATGGGAAGAGACAAGCTCCTGCACATGCCTGGGGCGCAGGTGCATGTGTCGGGCAGGGCCACCCCAGACCCGCCAGGTGAGGAAGGTGCTGCCTGCCCACCTGGAGTCTGCACCTGTGGCCGTGAGCACGCGTACGTGGCTAGCGCTTGAGAGCGCCCGGCCGCACCCCCACAGGCGAGGACACCTCCGTTCTGAGGTCATTCCGGGACCCCTCGAGCCCATTGTCATGTCCACAATCACGGGAAAGGCAGGGTGTTCCCCAGACCCTGGTGCAGTGACAGCTTCTGTTTGGCCCGTGTGAGCGTTTCTGGGGCCATGGGAGGCAGGATTTCAGGCCTGCTCCCCGCATTGGAGAGGGGTGGACGGACGGGCACGCTGGCTGCCTGCGATGGCTTTGCTAGAAATATTTCTGTGAAAACTTCTCCAAAGGGAGTATGTTTGGCTCCACTTTTTAAATTGTTTAAGAAGTGAAGACACTCACTCGGGGTAAGCCTGCAGTAAAGCGCCCGCCACCTCTGTGTTCCCCAAGGCACCAGTGGGGACGCGTTCCCCCGCCAGTCGCTGTACCGTGGCTCGCTGACCCAGAGGAGCCCCAGCGGGAAGAGGGGGACCAGCAGCCAGAGCTTCGCGGTAATGCTCCTCCCGTGCCTGCACGGCTTCCACCTCTGTGGCCTGTCGGTGTGCGGTCATGTCGGCGCTGCGTCGCAGGAGAGTTGCAATAAAACAACTAGAGAAGTGATCCCAGCAAAAGTAGGCACAGCAGCTGACCTCTGGGCCCACAGGCCAAGGTCATGCCCACGAAGACTCAGTGCCCAGTGGTCACCAGCAGGGTCCAAAGCCCTTAATCCCACAGTGCTGCACACCTGCCTCCCCTGCAGCTGGCCCCGCCTCCCCAGCAGCTGGCCCCGCCTCCCCAGCAGGGTTCTGACAAGCACACAAGAGCTGGCCCTTCCGAGGAGACGGCCCCCTCTTTATTCTCTCATGGCTTCAATTTTTAAGGATTTCTGAGTGTCTCCCATGATGACCACGTGGCTGTGTGTTTGCAGGTGGGGTGGGCACTCATGTCCCCGACAGCCATCATCAGGCCCCCACAAACCAGGGTTTGTGGGTGCAACAGGAAGTGCCGGCCCCACCTCAGCCCAGAAAGAGGCAGGTGTCCAGGCAGAGGATCAGGGCCGCGCGAAGACCTCACCAGCAGGGCTTGGAAAATACAGTGCTTTCAAGTCAGAACACAGGCCCCGTGTCCCAGGTCTTAAATTGCCAAATACTTCTGATGCTTACACCCCCCAAGATGAGCCTGGTGCCACCCAGATGCGTTCCTGGGGAAATAGAGGCAGAGAAGGGTTGAGTAAAAGTCCCAACAGCCTTGGCCGATGTCTTCTGGTCAGCCATCAGGCACGTGTGTGAATCTATGTGCTCCTGGTCTGTGCACCTGCACGTGGGCCTGGCAGGTGCCTGTGTCCAGTGTGTGCACACCTGAACCTAAGTGCCCGTGTGCATGCCTGTGTGCTTGTATGCTCCTGCGTGAGTGCCTATGTGTCTGCACGCCCACCTGTGCACCTGTATCTGTGTGTGCACGTGTCTCTGTGTGCACACCCACCTGTGCGTGTGTATCTTTGCACGCCCACCTGTGTGCCCTCACCTGTGGCATGTGCTGTGCTCCACAGAAACCTGTGATGACCCACCAGCCCTAAAAGGGGGCTCCCTGGGCCAGGACAGCGTGACAGAGCAGCCCAGCCTTCCCACCACCACCCTGCACTCCCCACCGTGCACGGCCCCACGGATGAACAAGAAGCACCATCCGCCCATCACGGAATCCCATGCGCAGCGTCAGGCCCCAGCCGCCCTCTCCCTTCTCTGTCCGCCGCCGAGGCCCCGCCTGCCTGAGGGCACCGTGTGCAGCAGCGGTCAGGACAGCTGTGACCCCACACACAAGCCTGTTTTCAGCTCATAACCTTTCACCCCTTTCGCCTCTGGCTCTCTTGAGACACTCAGGAGCCGGGTGGGAAGAGCGGCTCCCTTAAGCCTTCCCGTGCCCTGGACCAGGGTGCGGGCTGGGGCGTGAGTGTGTCTGTGTGGGGCTGGGGAGGTGAAGCACCTGGCGGCCTCAGCCAGCCGAAGCAGGAGGGAGGGAGGCCCCACGTGCCCCGCGGGCGCCCGTGCTCACCGGGGCCAGGGTGGTGCACTCCGTAGCGGGCGACGCCTGACGGGTGCCCAGGCGCGGGGCAGAGGACCTGCCGGGCAAGGTGGCGGCGGTGCCTGGGCCGGCAGGGTCCAGCCTGGCGCTGCCGCCCACCGGGCCAAGTCTGGGGACGGAGAGCCGGCCGTGGCGACATCTACCAACCCCACGTCCCCTCACCTCCGACAGGCAGGCTTCAGCCTCCTCTGGGGGTGTGGGTGCCAGTCCTGCGTTCAGGGAAGCCCACTGCGCCCCCCAGAGCTGCCTTGAACGTAGTAACGGGAGCAGCTTGTGTCGTCCTCGGATCCAACCCGAGCCCACCTGCAGGGCGCTGGGCCCTGAGCACCAGGCGGCACCCCCCGCGAGAAGCCACTTCCCAGCGTGACCCTGGCCAGCCTCGCGTTTCCCCTGTTGTGTGTTCTTGCTCACGGGAAGTGGCGCCCGAGGGCCTTGGAGCCTTTCTCCACACGAACGCCACGCGGGCCCGACCCTCCTGACGGCCGCAGAGGCCGCGGTGCCCTCCCCTGAAGACCGCCCAGGGCCTGACTCGCGGCGGCACCGCGTGCGACACGGCTTTTCAGACGTCAGCCCGGCTGGCGGGGGAGGAGCTTCAGATGTGCCGGGGTGTGAGGAAAAGCCGGGCCCGTGAAGCCCCTCTAGGCGGGAAGCTGATCAACGTGACGCCCCCATGTCAGTGCTGAGCCGATTAAAAGTGCCCGCGTGGACCGCCGGCTGCTGTCTTCATGGGCCCTCAGGGGCCAGCGTGAGCGCCATGAGTCAGGGGAAGGGAAGGGAGTCCTGACATTCCCCAGGGCGGACGCGGGCCCCTCGTGCCCGGACGGGGTGGCCTTTAGCCCCCGCTGCCGGCCTCGCTGCCCGGAGCGGGGGCAGGTGAGCGAGTGTGGTGCTGGCTCAGCGAGACGCGCCTGGGGTCGACACAGACGTCTGAGGGGTTTCTGTGGCCGGAAATCCCTGGGGACATAACCCCGCTTTGTTCCGTGTCCTTTGGCTTTAAGTCGCCTGTGGGTGACATCGGGGGGCGGGGGCAGCAGTGAAGAGCGTCACGAGCGAGCACAGGTACCCGCAGGGTTTCTGTCCCCAAGACCCCCAGTTCCGGGGAGGGGACCTTGCTGTGCAGGTGCAAGTTCGGTGCGGCGCGCACCTCCCAGCCCACGCCGCGGCCTGGGCGAACGTGCTGGGCCGGAGCCGAGCCTGGCTCTCCCTGCCTGAGACCGGGGCCCCAGGGAGGTGTGGGGGGACCCCGGGGCCGCGATCCCACCAGCCCCGGGGAGCCACTCCCCCAAGAACACAGAGGCGGGTGCAGCTGCGCATCCCCGGGCCAGACCTGCGCCGGGAACCAGCAGGCGGGTGGCAAGAGCCACAACCAGCCTCCACCATGCCCCTCATGACGCTGGGTCCCCTGTGGGCGCCACCAGAGGCGGGGGTGGGGGGCAAAAAGGCAGTGGGGAGGAGGGGGACCAGGGTTCTCCTCCCCGCCAACGGAGGCCTCTGCGCCACGCCGGGTTGGGGCGGGGTGGAGTGACGCGGCCTCCCACAGCTGTCCTCTGACGCGGCCTCCCCACCCCGCCACGGAGCCGTGTGCCGGGGGAGGGGGGGCGCGCCACCCCACATGCAAGTGCACACACGTGTGCTACATGGACGCACACACGTGCGCAGGTGGTGTCCACGTGTGTGCACACACGCACACATCCCTGCGGGGATGCCCACTGGCTCGGGGCTGGTCCTCAGCTTCCGTCGGCCCAGGTGCCCAGGGATGGGGCCCGCCCAGGGGACGGCGGTGTGGGGACCGCGGCCGCGGCTCTGCCGCCTGCCCTCGGCGAGGGAGACAGGGAGGTAATGTGTTTTAAAACCACTTGGCCCAAATGAGATTACACAGCCCGGGAGAGACACACGCTGCCGCTGGCGATAGTCAAAAAAACGCAGGGGGAAGATGGTGTCCTAATGCGCCTTGGAGGCGAGCGGATATGGGGGGGCGGGGGACCCTGGGGGGTGGGCTGCTTCCTCCTTGGTCTATAAAAGGAGGAGCTGGCTCCCCAGGGTCACCGCCACCCTCAGGACCGGCCTCAGACACGGTGAGTAGCACAGGCGCTGGGGCCCATCTCTGTGCACCCCCACGGGCGGGTTGGGGTTCTCCCGGGATACTTCTGCTCCAGCAGCCAGGGCCAGCCCTGAGCAAGGTGGGCAGGGCGCCCCCCGGGCTTTGGGGGTCTGAGGGCCACCCCGGCCCACCCTGCCCGGGGCTCAAGTGCTGTCCGCGGAGAAGACGAAAAGCAAGGGTGCCATGTGACGCCTCTGGGAATGCGGCAGGGACCCCGGGACAGTGAGACCCCAGCGCCAGGAAAGCGCGTGCGGGGGCCGGGCCGGCTGAGCCCCCACTGCCGCTGGCCCAGGGCGAGGAGCACAGGCGCCACGGGCCACGCCGTCTTCACTCTGCTGTCAGGGTGGTGTCTCGCCCCCTCTGAGTCTGGGGTCCCCCGGTGTGACACCCCAACAGGTCTCTTAACAGGAGGGGGGCATTTTAAGTGGCTCAGACGAAGAGCACCTTCTGTGAAACATCAATCTCCGAGTGCCAAGGGGGGGCTCCCCTACCGAGGCTGCAGCAAGGGGCAACCCCACACCACAGGGGCAGGTGGATTCTGGGTGCCCGTTGTCCTCGGTCCCCCCCCCCATAGCAGGCTCGTCCTGCCGTGTGACCTATTGCAGGCTCCTCTCTTGGACCCAGAGGGGACCTGGGGCGTGGGGCGGCCGGATGTCTTCCTCGGCAGGGCCCCCGGAGCCCCCTCAGGCCCCACCCGAGTCTGGTCCAGTCTCAGCACCCCGAAGCCCCATCACCCTCCACCTCTGCGCAACCCTGGGCTCCCGGGGCAGCTGCCCACAGCCTGGCCCCTCTGCCCTCCCTGAGTGTGGCGCACCCCCGCCGCCAGGAGCCTCCACACCCCCTGCTTCCGACACGGATGGACCGTCCCCCGACACCATGGCCCCTGGCCGCTAAGGTCCCCTCAAAATGTGACTGAGCCCATCGGGCAGACACGGGCCCTTTGTTGGAGATGGGGTGCAGGGCGGGGCTCTGGGAGGATGTGGGGACAGGGACTGGCTGACGCGTGGCTGCTCGGTGCCAGGTCCCGGCCGGGCAGACGCAGGCACAGCGGGACGTGGCCGTGGACACACACACACTCGTGTGCACCGACACCCTCTCACAGCCCTGCACGCGCAGGTGCTCACAGGCCTGGCTCCCTCTGGCAGGGACACCCCACTCGCTCTACACGCCCTGGCCACACCCTCCCTGGAGCCAGGAGCCAGAGGGATGAAGGTGCCCGCGGCCTGGCTGCTGTGCCTGCTGCTCCTGGGCCTGGCCCTGCGGGGGAGCGCGAGCAGAGCCCCCCAGCACTCCATGGAGATCCGCAGTGAGTGCCCCCCCACCCTCGCCTGCCGCCCTGCCAAGTGCTTCAGGCTGCACCCGGGTCTCCAGGTGCTCCCCAGTGCCCCTGTGATCTGCTCCCCTGCTCCCAGCACCCCTGTTCCCCAGCTCCCCAGCTCCCGAGCACCCCTGCTTCCCACCTCCCTTATTCCGCAGCTCCCCAGCACCTCTGTTCCCCATCTCCCCTGCTTCCCAGCCCCCCTTCCTGGCACAGGGCTCCAGCCCCCTCTCACCCGGGGTGTGCCTGCTTCACCATGACAATAGGGGTCCTCAGTGGAGTTCCTGTTTCCCGAAGCCCCACCACCCAGAAACGGCTGGCAGGCTCTGGGCGCCCTCCCTCACTGGAGGGTCCAGTCGCTAGCTGAGAGCCACAGGGAGCACTGCCCCAGTGGGGGGCCCGGCGCCCCGGGGTGGGGGGGACAGCACCCTGCAGCCTCTCCCTCCCTCCCGCCAGCTCCTGACATCGACCCCGCCTGGTATGCGGGCCGCGGGATCAGGCCAGTGGGCCGCTTTGGCCGGAGAAGGGCAGCCATGGGGCACGTCTCCAAGCCGGGCCTCCATCATCGTCGGGCTGGCTTCCCCCCCGCAGGGGGTGCTGAGTCCCCCCGGAATGGCGGACGGCCCAGCTCACCGTGAAGCACCTCCGGGAGCTTCCCTCGGCCCCTCCGCTCCTCCACAGCCACCTCCCCCCCATCTTAATAAAAGCAGATAGCCTTGTTTAGATGTGTCTGCGTGGTGGCAACCGGGGGCCATTTGCCCTTGTGGGGTGTTAGCCAAGGACACCTGGAGCCGGAGGGCACCCAGCACTGAGCAGGGAGCTGGCCCCGTCCTTGGCCACCAGTGTCCCCAGCACCTTCCCCACGAACTGCCCTGAACACTGCACAGGGCCGTGCAGGAGGCCCCGGCGGAGGGCAGCACCCAGCCCGCCTGCCCTGACGCCCAGAGGCCGAGTCGGGGGCTGCAGGTCACTTGTTGAACTTGGACCCCCCCTCACCCCGGGGCCCCTGTGCCGCGGGTTCGATCTGGCGGGGGTGTCTCTGCGTCAAGCCTCCGCCATCCTTGCTTGGGCATCAGGGGTCGTGGGAGCCTCGCCCTGAACTCAGCCTCTGGTCCACGAAGGGCACCCAGGGCGGCGCCGCCATGTCCTTGCTGGGCCGGAGAAGGCGCTGCCCCTCCACGCCGCCCCCGGGCCCCCTGCTCGGGCCCCCTCCCTGCCCAGCGAGGGGGGCAGGTCTCCCCTCTGACACTCGAGCCCAAGGCCCGGCGCCCAGCCTGCAGCTTCTCAGGAGCCCTGTCCAGCCACACGCAGAGTGCCCAGTGGCCAGGGCCGGGGCAGGCCTGGGGGACGCAGACCCCGCAGACGCTGTTCCAATCCACGGCCGGCCGGGCATGGCTCACCGGCCAGCAGAGGGCCAGATCGCCGAGACCACCAGATGGGCTGTGCGGGGCAGGGTGTGGGGGGGCTGCCCCTCCTCCCCAGCCACGGGGTGGCCAGAGGGATGGTGGAGGTGGGGCCTCCCCGGGACCCCCTGGGAGGCCCCCAGCCACACCCCCGCAGGCTCTGAGAGGCTGAAATAAACAATCACAGAGGGAGCCGGGCTGCCCCAGGACAGGCCAGCGTCGGGCCGGCCCGAGACCACACAGCCCCTCAAAAAGTTAAGCATGAAGTTACCCAAACCCCATACCGTCCTTGGGTGGCCCCCGTGGACAGATGAAGGCTTCCAGCACACGAGAAAGTTCCAAATACGCTGACAACCCCCCCCCCCCACCTGGGCACCGCGCTCCACAACGCCCCTCCCTGCTCCCTCCTGGCCCTGCCCCGCTGGGAGGGTCTCTCTCGGCAACCCCACCCCCATATTTCAGTCTGCTCCCCAGTTAAGGACAATCTCCTACAAACCCCTATCAAGCCCAAAACATGCCGTAATCACGCCGCGTTATCCAGTTTTTAGTTTAGACTCACAGTCCCCCAACTGTGGCAGAAAGTCTCAGCTAAGTTCCTGGTCTTGGTGAGTTGTTCTAGTTGCTTCTCTTTTGTCCCCGATCTTTTTATTTTGTCGTGAGATTGACGTGACCAGCACGCGGACGTGCTCTTGCCCTGCGATCCCAGGGCGGGTGGGGGGGATCCCTGCTACCTCTCTCCCCTGCGGCCCGTAGCTGGCTCTGTCCCTGCAGCCATGTCACCGGAGCACAGGCGGGGGCACCCTGCCGTTGCTCACCGGACCCCAAAGCTGCATCCCTGCTCAGGCACCGGATCCGGCAGAGCCCAGGTGAGGAGTGTCTGTGATGGTTTGTTTCAGCCTCTCAGAGCCTGCGGGGCTGTGGCCGGGGCAGCCGCTCAGCCTGGCTCCCTGAGGGGTCTGCTGGCTGCAGGGAGGCGTGTCCAGGGAGCCCCGGCCCCAGCCCAGGGGGCGTGAGCAACAATTATTTTCTCGCAGCTCACTTTCTTGTGGGCTTCGGTTCCTTCTTTTTCCTTTTAGTTTGCTAACACGCTGGGTTAGAAGATGCCTCTGGGCGCCGTCAGCAGGTTGACCGAGCAAGGAAATGCCCCGGGACAGGGCAGAGCTGGTTCTCAGGGCCCAGGCCGCTTCAGGGAGCTCCCTGGCTGCCCCAGAACTGTGAGAGCAGGGGCCCGGCAGGCCCCAGCTGGGGCGAGGGGACACGCAGAGGCCACCAACCAGAGAGGGAGCGGCACCCAGGGAGCGAGGTCTTTGGTGGACACAGCCCGGGCGGCAGCCCCCAGGGAGGTCCTGGCCGAGGCCCGGCCCAGCATATGCGCCGACCGCCCCTGGCTCGCAAACGCACTGAAGACTGGGCTGTCGGGAGCAGTCTAATCCCGGAGAAGAGCTCCCCGTGGCTCGGCCCACACCTGGGCACGGCCTACAGCCTGCAGACCACAGCCGGGCGCGATGGGCAGTGCCCAACCGGCAGCCACTCCCAACACCAGACTGGGCAGGCCGGCCGGGGAGGGCCCCGGTTTCTTCCTGGCGCTGCGCCTCCCCCAGGGCAGGTGGGCTCGGCCGCCCCCAGTCGTAAGGTGCTTCGGTCCCTGCTGCCCGCTGCCCGCTTCACCCGCATCTGGCAGCTGCTGATGGGGGCAGCCCAGGGAGGCTGTGGTGTCTGGGTGTCCGGAGCGGGCGACACCAGGGGGCCGGATGTGGCCATGGCGAAGGCTGCCGGCTCGGGGTCCTCCAGATTCAGGAGCAGGAAACGTGGAAGGAGAATCACAGCAGCCCCCCTCGCCAGGCCCGGCCAGGCCATGTCCGGGGATGCCCCACGCCCTTCCTGGGGCTGCTTCTAGTGGGCACAGCACTTGGCCTGCCCCGCTGGTCCCCCTCTCAGAGCCAGTGGTGCGTCCCCCGGGGATGTCCGGCCCTCCGTCCTCTCTTCTCTCCGCAGCAGCTCTCGGGCTGTGAGGGACAGGAGGAGGGAAGTCACCAACTCCCGGGGACCCCAATCCCGGACACAGCCCTGAGCCCTAAACATGGGCCCCAATGCCTGTGCCCCACATTGGGCCCGAGGGGCGGAGAGGACCCCACCCGGCTCCCGGCCTCACTCACCCACGCCGCTGAAGACCTCGGTCACCTGCTGGTCCAGCTTGGCCGAGGCCTCCATGAACAGCAGGCTCTTTCGCTCCGCAAAGTCCTTCCCCTCCTGAGGGACAGGCCGCAAGCTGCGCTCAGCCATCGAGGGGGACCCTGGACGCCGCTTCTTGCTCACGTGTATGTGCCACGTGTGGCTGAGGCTACCATTTTGGTCTGGGGGGTGTGTTTGTTTCTGGCCAGGAAGGTGGCCGCGATGGCCGGTCCCCATCCCTGCGCCACCCTCCAGGACCCTCTGCTGCTCCGAGCCCGCCCCAACCTTCCTGCGGGCTGCACCGCCCAAGAAAGGGCCAACCTCGGCCCCCAAGGACAGCAGCATGGGAGCGTGTGCGAGCCCGTGGACATGTGTGACACGTGTCCGTGTCACGCGGGGGTGAATTGCGTGGCCGGGTGGGCGACATGAGCGCTGGGCAGTCTGTGCATGCGCAGGGGACCCCCCATGATGCAGGGTGCCGGGGTGTGCGCCGCGCAGCAGGTGCCAAGAGGGTGTGCAGGGTCTCGGGGCCGCGCCCATCTCCCCAGCCGGAAGCTCCCCGGAGCCCACCTGGAAGGAGACCTCCCGCTCCTGGTCCAGGTCCGCCTTGTTGCCGACCAGCATCACCACCACCTCCCCGGGCCGGAACTCCCGCTCCAGGTCCTGCAGCCACTGCTGGGCCTGATGGAAGGAATCCTGAGAAAAGGGAGGAAGAACCAGTGTGGACAGAGGTAGGGCAGGCGCCGTCAGCTGCTGCAGGGGGAGAAGCCGGGCTCATGGCCAGTGCATGTGGCCCTGCCCTGAGGACACCGGGGCTGCACTGTCCCTCTAGGGGGCAGCAGGTCTCTTTCTGGCCTCGGGTGGCCCAGGCCAGGCGTCAGCTCTTCCCACCTGACCCGGCCCGGTAAGGTCCTGACCCCCCCCATGCCTTCCAAAGAGACAGGGCTCTGGAGGTGGGGAGCACCTTAGACCCTGATCCTGACTGCAGCGCCGGAGGGACCCTCGCACTCCTGCCCTCTCAGCCCGCGCCCTTGCTCGGCTGTGCACCCACCAGGGGCTGCTCTCTCCAGAAGCCCCTCCCCCCTTGCAGCGCCTCTGCCCTGCTCTGCCCCACCCCAACAGGCCCAATCTCTGCTTTCCTGCTCCTGCAGGGAGCCCTCCAGACCACACCGGCTACGGTGCCCTCCCCCAGCCCTGGCACCTGCTCACTAGTGTCAGCGCCACATACTCTGCTGCCTCTGTCACGTCACCAGCCTGGAAGCAACAGCTGGCTCCCACTGAAATGCTCTCGGCTACTTGTCCTGGTTTGACCGTAAGGCTCCAGCACAGGGGTCACTCCCCTGCGGAGCCCGTGCCCTGTGCAGGGACGACGGAGGGCAGAGGCATGGTAAGGGGCCGCGCCTGGGGCGCTCACCTTCCTGGCGATGTCATACACCAGCAGCGCAGCGTTGGCGCCCCGGAAGTACAGGTGGCACACGCTGTGGTACTTCTCCTGGCCCGCTGTGTCCCAGATCTCCAGCTTGAGGGCGGCCGTACCCAGGTCCACCACCTTGGTGAAGAAGGCACCTGCAGCGAGCCAGAGATTCAGGGACCAGGTTTTTGCCCACGGGGACCCAAGGAGCTCTGGCTCCTCCTGCCTCCTTCCACCCTGTCCTGGGAGTTTCCAGAAGCAGCAGAGCACCAGGGGTGTGAGGATGCCGGGGGGGACCAGCTCAAGGTGGCTCCCGGGCCTCTGGGTGCAGGGGCCTGGGGTCCACCATGCCTGTGGCTTCCAGAGACGCAGCCGAGCCCTGACACCCCGCCCCAGCGGCCCTTGCCACACCTGTCGCCCGGGGGTGCCCCATCACGCTACTCATCCCCCTAGTCTCTCCTGGCCCCTGAGCCCGCAGCCTCACCCAGGCCTCTCCGGCCAAGCCCCCTTTGCCACTGGCCCTCGGCGTGAATCCTTCAAACCTCCAGGGTCTGCAAGTCTCAGCCGGTGCCTCCCCGCCTGAGGCCCATGCACTGCCCTCACAGCCCCGGCGCAGGCGACTTCCATGGCTCCCTGCCGCCCGGGATGGCAGCACCTGGAGGCCGGGACACACGGGACACGGCTATGCGTCTGACACATTGGCCTTTGCTGGACGGCGTCCCCGAGCTTTGCTTTCCAAAGGGACATGATGTGGGAGTAGCTGCTGTTAACACAGCGTCCGGGTCTGTTACCGGGCCGGGGGGCCAGGGCAGCCCGGGCGGCTGGGTCAGCGGTGGGGGCCGCACAGCTCCCTCCACCGCTGCCACCGCGAGTCTGTCCTTGGGGCTGCAGCGCATGGCCAAGGGGACCCGGCTGTGAAGCCAGAGGCCTGGCCTCCAGAGCAGGACTGGCGCGCCCGGCTCCCGGCCCACGCGCCGTGGCAAGAGCAGCAAAGTGAGGAGCGAGGCCGGCGAGCCCTGCCCTTGGCTGCGCGCTGCCCCGGCTCCCCGGCCAGAAGGTCGGGCGTCGTCCTGCCTTTCCTGCATTTCTATCACCTCAAATTGCATTTCCGCACGTGGACTTCGCGAATCTTAGAAGTCCCCACTGCCCGTGGCCTGTGGCGTGAAAGTCGATCCCTCTCCCCCAGGCCCGGTGTCTGGCGTGGTGGCCAGCGGCTGTGCTTGCGTGGACACAGGCCGGGCACCCCTCCAGGCCCCGAAGGGCCCAGCCACTGTCCCCAAACACCCGCCCCAGACTCGCCTCCCAGGGTGGCCCAGCAGGCTGGGGCTCATGAGACCTTCACCCCACCAGGACCCCTTGGCTCCACCCCGAAAAGGCCCCCACTTCTCCCCCCCACCCCGTGTTTGCAAACCCACTGGCCGCGTCCCTCTGTCTTCACAGCAAAAGCCAGAAAATGATTAAAAGGTAAACCTCCAGGAGCTCTGCGGGGGGTGGGTAGGAGCCCAGCACTGATCGGGGTGGGGAGCCACGCCCACCCCTGCCGGCCACGCCCACCCCTGCCGACCACGCCCACCGCCAGCCACGCCCACCGTCTTGTCACACCCACCAGCCACGCCCACTGTGTTGCCACGCCCCCGCGTGCCCCCCCCCCCCCCGCCCGGAGTTGGGGGCGGGGGGCTCCAGAGGCTGGGCCGCCCGGGTTAGGCCGCCCAGGGTAGGCCCGCGAGCCGCCCGAGGGCCCCTGGCCTTGCGCTGCGGCCTTAACAGACGCGGGACAAAGTGGGGTGCGTTTGTCCGTCCACTGACCCCGCGGCCCCTGCTCGCCTGGCGCCGGCGGACAGAGTCTGGGGGGACCCGCGGGCACCCGAGCTCTCCGCAGGCGCGCCCCGCGCTCTCCCGGCCGGGGCGGGGGGGCAGGAGCCGGTCCCCTCCGGCCCCCCCAGGCCTCCAGCGGGGTGCGGGTCCCGGGCCTTCCCTGCCCGCCCGACTGTAGCGTCCCGGGGGCGGCCGCCGCCCGCAGCCCTTCCTGCCGCTCCCGTGCATCCCGGCTGCTCCGGGGCCGGCTGCCCACGCCCACCCCTGCCCCCCGCCCCCCCCCCCCGCCCAGCCCACGCTCACCCCCGCCCCCCGCCCGGCCCATGGCCCCCTGCCCCCCCCCCCCGCCCGGCCCATGCCCACCCCTGCCCCCACCGGCCCACGCCCCCCCCGCCCCCCCCCCGCCCCCTCCACCCCCGCGGCCGTGCTGCCAGGCTCCCGGGGCGACCAGGGGGCCTCGGACCCAGGTGCCCCCCACCGGGCCTGCCCTGGACGCCACGACCTGGCCTGGGCCAGCCCATACTGACCGGGGAGTGTGGACCCCCAGGAGGGTCCCGGGGACCCCCCCAGCTGCGGTGTCTTGGGCTGCCTCCCTGAGGGGACCTCACCGGGTCAGCCGCGCCCCGCTCCCAGGATGTTGGGGACGGAGGAGCAGGCGGGAGAGGGCCTCACTCCCCACCTGAAGGCCTCCCAGGACACCCCAGTCCATCCTTCCCGAGCCGAGGAGAAGCATCCAGGGGCCAGAGCAGACCCTTCCCCGGCCACCCGCGCGTGGGCCCGTCAGCGCTGACTCACTGCGGGTCCCGCAGGCCCTGCTTGGCACCCCCACCTCCTTTACCTTCCCAGCCCCGAGGCGGGCTGCGGGGGGCGTGTGGACCCACACTGCCACCCCGGCTGAGCAAAGCCCACCCCAGCTGGGTCTGTGAGCTGCCCGGGCCGCTGCCGCCGCAGTGGGCACAGCGGGGGCCCCACCACCCTGTGCCCGTGCGGCCCACGCCCGGCTTCTGCGCTCACAGGCCCATGGCACTCACATCCCACGGTGGGCAGGACGCTCTTGAAGTCATTCTTCACGTAGCGGAGGGCCAGGCTGGACTTGCCCACGGAGCCACTTCCCAGGAGGACCAGCTTGGCCACGCGAGGCTGGCCAAGGGCAGCCCCAGCTTGGAGGGTCCCATCCGCCTGCGCCATGCCCTGCAAAAGGACGAGGCGCTGGTTCCGGCCCCAGCCTGCTCACCCCGGGCACCGCCCCCCACCGTGGGGCGGAGAGACCCAAGGGAACCGAGCTCCAGGCCGGAGGCCCCCAAAAGCTGCCGAGGGAGTAGATGTCTGATGTCCCCACGGGGAGAAAAGGAAGAAACAGGGATTAGGTGCGGGCGGAGGGGCTTGGAGCTGACAGAGAGCGGGGCTGGCAGAATGTCGGTGGATCCCCCCAGCAGGCTCACGCTCGCCCCCCAACTAGGACGCGCATCTGGACGGTGCTGGGAAATGACAGCCTTGAAGAAAGGCCTGTCCGAGGTGGCGCCCGCCGGCTAGTAGCGGCTCCAGCGCCACCGCCTCGGGCGCCTGCTTGCACAAGCCCGGACTCGCCAGGCGGTGCTGGATGGCAGCAGGAGAGGGAGCGCCAGGGACGCTTCCCCGGAGTGCACAGGCGCCCTCCGAGGCCCTGCTGTTCACTCGCGCAGCCAATAAATCTCCAGTCAGAAAAACCTTGAGCCCAGAACCCGCCTGAATTCACCAAAATAGGTGGGGTGCGCAGGGAGGGGCCCCGATCACCCCTCGGCCTCATGTTCCGGGCAACAGCACAGCTCTTTGAAGTCACTGTGTTTAATACTGAAATATTATTTTATCATAAATATGAACTCTCAGTCGTCGATATGAAAAGAACAAAGTCACCCCTGACGCTAACACAAGAGGAAGCCGCTTCCCTGCCCACTGGCGTCTTTTGCTTTGCAATTTAAAAATAAGCCAAGTTACGTGTCCTGCCCTTAAGCAATGTCATGCCCCGAGGCAGGGCCCACTCCACCGTCCCCCCGCTGGGCACACGCGTCTTGCCATGGAACCCGCCCCGCCCCGCCCCGCGGCCCCTGGCTGGAGCCTGGCTGGGCTCTGAGCGCCGACCTGACCGCGGGAAGCGGGTGGACCTTGGGTGCGCGCTGGAAGGTTCGGCTAATCAGGAGTTGGAGCTTCTGTTCAGAGACAAAACTGAAAATGTGAGGCCTGACCCGCCTGGCTTCCCTCACGAAGGGCTCCTGACGCCGCCGCAAAGCAGGTTCTCGGCGGCGCCCTGGGGTTTGGGCCAGGCCCCACGTGCGCCTCAAGTCTGGGCTTCGTGCTCCGTCCGCACTCGCCCCCTCCCTGCCAAAGGAGAGACGCATGCAGACTGGGCCTCTGCAGCAGGGGCGGCCCAGGGAGAGTCCCCAGTGCCCGTCCCTCTGGCCCAGCGGGTCCGGGAGGCCGAGCCGCCGGGTCCCCTGCACTCGCTGGGCCCGGGACCAGCTGACCCGGAGCCCGCAGGGCCCTCGGGGTCCCAGCTGAGCTTCCAAGCCTTGGAACTGCAATTCCCAGAGGCCACAAGTCTCCTGCTGGGAACTTGACCTCGCACACCAGGGGGCCCCAGACAGGAGCATCTGGCACCCTAAGGGGAGCAAATGCCTCGCCCCCGCCTCGGGGCTCTGAGTCAGCACATGTGCACACACGTGCAGACGTGCGCGTGCAGACACACTCCCGTGGACACACGCATGCACACACATGAACACGGGCGTGCGCAGACACAAGTGCGCTGAAGAGTAAACGATGACTCACGTGTGCCCCGAGCAAGTCCCTCTCCGCGAGTCTGGCCGCTGGTCGTCACCGGCCCGCGGGCCCCACCTGTCCCCTGCCCCTTCTCCCCACTCCTGCCCAGGGAAGGTTTGCTTCCTGCCAGGGGGGCCGGGGCCGCGGAGCCCGAGGCGCTTCTCTGGAGCGAGCAGGTGAGGGGAGCAGGTCAGAGCAGGAAGGAGGCTGCAGCCGCCAGGTCCTGCCAGCCCCGCCCAGGGTCGGGCCTGGGGACGGCCCGGTCACGTGCTTGCTTCCTGGGCGGCTGGGGCTGAACATTGCCCCTTGACCTTGGCTCCCTCCTGCAGCCGCCCGCGTCTCTGGCCCACGGACATCTGGGCGGCAGAGGAGGAGGTGTGGGGTGAAGAGCCCCTTCCTTCCACAGGCCCCAGCAGCTCCCGCCCTGCCCTGGGGTCACAGGCAAATCAGGGGGTGCGGCCTGGCCAGCCGGGGGACCTGGGGGCAGCTGGCTGCCTTCCCTGACGTCCCCTCCCACCTGCTCCAGCACTGCCCACTCCACCTCCACCTGCGGCCTCCCCTCCCTTCCTTCCTCCTGTTCCCCAGACTCTTCGTGGGGTCCAGTCGTGCGGGGCTCAGCCTCTTCGAGATCAGCAAGGCCGGGGCGGGAGCTGAGCCGGGTGGGAATCGTGTCCCCGAAGCTCCGTCCAAGTCCCCACGAAAGAAGCTGCTCTTTTGTGTCCTCCATCTCGTCCTCAGGGCACCCCAGGCCCTCTGACGGGCAGCTGGGCGCTGAGAGCCGAGACGCCCGGCCCCCCTGCTGGACATCGCTGCCCACGGAGGCCTCGGCGTCTGTCCTGGCAGCGGGCGCAGTCACTGGCCTGAGGAGCACACCGTGACCCCGACTCCTGCCGCCCCCGTCCCGCGTCAGCGCCCACAGGGCCATTCTCTGCCTCTGCCTGGCGAGCGCCCAGCACCCAGCCCGGGCACCGCTGGAGGACCGGCGCGGAGCCGGCAGGGCCGGGGATCACGCCCGCCCGTGACCGAGGAATCTGGCACAGCCCTGCCGCCGGCCCGCAGCCCCCTCCTCTCTCACGGCTCAGCCCGGACGGTGGGCTCCTGCGCCTCCCCGCCTGCCCCGCTCGCCCCCGCCCCACCGTCCAGAGCTCCCTGGCAGACGCCGGCCGGCAGCTGCAGAGACATTTCTGAGATTTTTGAAGCGGTTTTCAGAGCCTTCGCAGACGCTGTCGATGACCTGCCCACACCCAGGGCCCCTCACCCCTGCTGACCCCAGGGAGGCCCCCCGCCCTTCCGGCACAGGCTGCTGACCCCCCCAGGGGGCGGTGGTGGAGGTGCCGCCCCACCTCCTCGGGCCTCCCTGCCGAGCTGCGTTAAGCAGGGGTGTGAGAGATCTGAGGTACAGATCTTCCAGAATGTTCTGATCTCAAAGGCCTCTGAGATAAGCAGGAATAGCCTGGAAGCCTGACCCTTGCTTATCTCTATGGAAAATTCCCGCAGGGATGTCTGAACACCAAGAATTCCTCAGCTCCGCCTCAGCTGGGGCCTGGCCGCCTGCCAGGCTGGGCGGGGCAGAAGGGAGCAAAGTCCCGCTGGGGCAGCAAGACCAGACAGTGGGGGGCCAGAGGGTCACCCCGACTGTGCACAGCCCTAAGGGGCAGGAAAGGAGGCTCACCTGGCCAGACAGAGGGGCGAGGTCCAGGGAGACCAGACAGAGGAGTAAGAAACTTGCCCGAAGGCCAAGGGAGAGGGTCTCTGAGCCCCGGAGTCCGGTGTGAGCACTGCGGGCGCGGGCGGCACTGCCAGCCAGGAGGAACCTGGGCAAGTGGCCAAGGGGGAGAGTGCTGCACCCTAAGGCCCCGAGGCGGGCCCTCCTCCAGCATGCCGCCCCGGGTGGAGGGCTCACAGGGCTCCCCACATTCCCATCAAACTCCCAGGCCCTGGGATGGCAGAGTTCCTCGCCCAGCTAGTCTCAGACCCACTTCCAGGACCCGCTGGGCCTCACGCTGGGTCTTCTTGGCCAAAGTAAAGTGCCAGGTGGGCGCCCTGGACCTTCGTGGCAGCGGGACCCTGCGGGCGGCCCGGCTGCTCTTGCCCCGTTCTGTCGCTGAGGACGCTGGACCCCACGGACAGGCGCAAACCAGGAGCCTAAACCAGGAGCCTGTGCCGGACCAGGCTGACCTGCAGGGGCCCAGGCGAGGCAGTGCCCGAGGGCTGTGCAGGAGAGGGGCGGGGATGCTCGCCCCAGGGCAGTCTGGGTCTCCCTCCCCATGAGGGACACGTCTGGGGGCCTGTCACTCCCACCTCGAGGATCCTGGGGGGAGGGCTCCCCACCAGCTGAGGACAGGCTTCGGCTTCTCCCACATTGGATCACGAAGCCCTCTCCGCCCTCCCCCACGCCACCTCTCCCTTGGAGTTGCCTCTGTCCCCCCCACCTCCCCACCCCCACCCCTGCCCCTCACTCCTCACTCCCCCTGGCTGCCCGCCCACCCCATGCACTCGCCTCCTCTCACGAAGTGGCTCCAAACGGGTGTTGCCGACCCCCCTTGTGGGGGGGTTCCTGATTCTCTCCCTTTCCGAGCTGCCCTCCTCTGTGGGGATGTGATCCACCAACCAGCCCCCCACACTTTCCTTTCTCAACCTCTGGGAGCCCCCTCCATGCTCTCCTTCTCCCTCCCTCCTCCAGCTCCTCCTGCCTCCTCTGCTGGCGCCCGTCCCTCCCCAGGACCTCCCAACACCGGCACCCACAGCCCTCGGTGCAGCTCCTCTCCCCGCTCCATCCCACTCGCTCCGAGGTCACTTAAAACTCAGGCATATGCCCCTCAGCGGGGGTCCTCCTATGCGCTCTGGGATGCCTGGCCCCAGGCCTTCGGGGACTGACCAGGGAGAGCAAGGCCAAGGGGGGGGGCCTGGGCAACATGGCCCCACGTCCCTGATCGTCAGCTCCTGCGTGTCCTGCTGCTGCGGTTGCGTCTCTTGCAGGTGGACGCAGCGCGGCGGAGACCTCGCCTGCCTTCCAGTCTAGAGCGGCTGGCCCGTTTGCTGGAGGGAAGCGCGACGGCCTGTCTACGTCCCCCGCCCCGCTGCTCGCCTTCTGTCCAGCCCCCGGTCCTTTCTTCCTCTTTCCCTTTTCCATCTGCTGCAGCCCGGGGTCCAGCCTGCCACGCTAGCTCCTTGCCTGGCTTCTCAAATACAGCATGCTTTCAGTTCCATGGTCTCCATTTCTTTGTAATTTCTAAATCTTCACTGAAATTCATCCCTTCCCTGCCACGTTATGTGCATCTTTCCCTGGAGATTCTTCACACGGTATCACAGTATTTCAAGCTAGCCTAACCCCTGGCTCATTGGTGGCCCATTTCTGCCGACCCCGTGCTGCCGGCCGCTCTGTGCTGCTGGCCGCAGGCCTCTGGTCTCCCCTGTGTCTGGGAATTGCGAGGCCAGGTGGGCGGTGTGTTGCAAGGATTCTGGTTTCTCCTCCTTTGAACACTGCAGAATTGGCTCTAGCAGTTAAATTACTGATGGGCAACCTCGAACTTTGCTTTATACCTAGGGGTATTTTGCCCTAAATCCTGGAGCATACCCTAGTCCAGGCACATGGTCCCCGCCTCTAAGCTGATGTCCTTCTAGGATGCTGATGAAGACTGAGAGCTTCAAAGCCTCCCTACTTGGCAGAACCTAAACTCCAGACTCTGTCCCCCCTGCGGTGTGTGGGAAGTAGCAGAAATCTCTATTCAGCTCTTTAAGACCTACAGAAATTCCTCTCCGCCAGGCTTCTTGGGCTCTCTCCTGTGTCTCCACTGTTGAGAGGACAGGGAAGAATTTGAGGAGAATCAATCAGCAATACTTGGGAACTCTTGCCTCTGTGATTCCCTTCTTTCTAAGACTTCACCTCTCATGCAACCGCTACAGAAAATACATTCTTCTAAAGTTCACATGGCATATTCACCAAGATCGATCACCTCCTGGGTCATAAAACAAACCCAACATTTCTAAAAAATAGAAATCATATAATGTTTGCTCTCAGATGACATGGAGTTAAACTAAAAATCAATATAACAGAAGAAAAACTGGAAAATCCCATAAAAGTGGAGATTAAATTATACCCTTCTAAATATCATGAGTTCTTAAACAATACCCTTCTAATAATGTGAGTAAGAAGAAATTTGAAGAGAATTTTTTTTAATATTTTGCACGAAATGAAATGGAAACACACCTTATCAAAATGTTTGGGATGCAATGAAAGCTGCTTAGCGGGACATTTGCAACATCACTTGCATATATTAGAAATGGAGAAAGATCTAAAATGAATAGCAAGTTTCACCGAAGGAAACGAGAATATCAAGGACAAATTAAACCTAGAGTAAACACAAGAAATGGAGCAGAAAGCAATGAAACTTAAAAATGAGAAACTGAAACCAAATTCTGGTTGTTTGAAGAGCTCAGTAAGCTTCTAACTCAGCTTAGAAAAGAAGAGAAAGGACATAAATTGCTAATATCAGATGACCGCGCGGACACCGTGACAGGAGGGACAGTGAAATGATCGTGAAAGTTCTGTGGACAACGCTGTGGCCACAAATCTGAAAACCAAGATAAGACACAATTGTAGGAAAGACAAAATTTGCCAGAACTCACACAAAAGAAACAGTCGACCTGAATAAGCCTGTGTCCAGTCTTTAAATTGAGTTAATAAGCAATAAGCTTCCAAAACAGAACCCACCAGCCCCGATGGGTAAATTCACTGGTAAATTCTACCACACATCTAAGAGAAAAGCGACACCTGTTCTCCACAATGTCTTCCAGAAGACAGAAGCAGAGGAGATATTTTCTAACTCATTCCACGAGACCGGCATTACCCTCTCATGCCCAAATCAGGCAAAGACAAAAGAAAACTACAGACCAGTGTCCCTCGTGAACCCAGACGCCGCCGACCTTCCCAGGATATTGGCCACTCAGCTATCAAATGGGATTTGTCCCAGAACACAGGGCCGGTTCAACAGTCCACATTCCAGTAATGTAATCCCCCCAGCTCAAAAGGAAAATCACATGATCACACCAGGGAATGCGGTAAAAGCGTTTGCCAAAACCCAACACCTGTTCATGATGGTAACTCAGTAAACGCAACGTCACCCTTCACTTTCGGTCCCCTGGCGCCCCAGCTCCACCCTCTGCTTCGCCAGACCCCGAGCTCCGGCCGCCCCGCCCAGGCCTTCAGAGCAGAGTCCGAGCCCGGCTCTCCCCCAGGCGATCGCGTCTCTCGCGGTTCGGTCTCTCTAGTCTCTGCCCCTCTGCCGCTCTCCAGGGCCCTTGCACAGTGTCTCTCCTCTACCCGGAGTCGGCCGCTGTTCCCTGCGGGAGTGTCAGCCCCGCGCGGCGTCCCGCACGTCCCGCACGGCTGACCCGGGTGCGCCAGTCCCGGGGGCACGTTTTCGCTGCCGGTCGTCACTGACTTGTGCTCTGCAGCGCCGGGCCACGCGGAGACTGCCCTGGGGAGCCCTGGGGCCTGCATAGGTTAGACCCCTAGACGGGGCCGCCTGCATCCAGACTCCTCCAGAGTATCCCCCCACATGTGCAGCCCCTCTGATCACGAATCCCCGAGGTGAGTCACGGGCCGTGCTCGTTCCGTCCTGGAAATCAGCGGCTCTGCGCCCTGAGGTGCGAGCCGACCCCCACCTTGGCAGGAGCCGCAGCACGGGGACAACACGTCACCCCGAGGACGGGCAGCTGGAGCCTGGGAACCCCCTTGGCAACAAGACTGACCGCTTCCTATGGGGTGCTGCCCCGGAGCCAC